CTTAGTTATGTCCTGTCCCTTCTCGAGTTATTCTTTGCAACCGTAAGATACCAAATCATTAATAGGCCTAAGGCCGTGCAAGACAAAGCTTAAACCACACCTGTAAGCCATAAGTTTACTGGACCTGTCATTGGGGTTTTGGTAAATGTTGGGTGACTTGTCTCTGATTAAGTTGAAACATTCCAACCCATTAGACAAAGCTTCATTTCTTTAACCAATTACAAATCAAAGAATCATTAAACCCACCTATAACCTGTAAGCCCCTTCCCACCCTCTGCCTTGGAGACATCCCACCTTTTCAAGCCAAACCAGTGCATTCCCTCCACATAGTGACACGGGATCTTAAGTGTGATCTGTGTCTCCAGGAATGTGCAAAACCAATCTGTGACCCAGCTACTGTAGGCACATTTTTTCAGGACGTCTTGAAGCCATGTGCTCCAGGCCGGTCACACACATTAGGCTCAGAATAAAACTCTTTTCAATCATTTTACAGAGTTTGGTTAAATCTACATTCACCATTTCCTTTATTAAGACTATAAATATTATTTTTGAGCCAAGTGGGGTACTTTGATTACAACACAAAGGGCACATGGCAAGACCGTATCCCCAATGTTCACAGATGAGCTAATGTGGTGTCTGGGATCTGGTGTCAAATAATCTTGGGGGAGGGACAGCTCAATGTATGGATCAAACAATGGCTTAATGATTGTTGAAGGAGGGGTGATGGATTCATGAGGGTTTATTATATTATTCTAGTTTCACATTTATGCGAAATTTTCCATAATAAAAAAATTGAATATACTCCCATGCAAATGAGGAAAAAATGAAAAGGAAAAAAATTGCATAGTTATCTCAGGGAGACCCTGTGTGTGATAAACTCTCTCTCTGTCTTCTAGATGTCTGGAAATGATCACTTCTTGACCCTCACTTTGGAATGATGATTTTGCCCAATTTCAAACTTGGACTGCAATCCACAGTGGAAACATGTTACATCACAACCCAACATGTACACACTGTTTCATCATTTCTATATGACATTTTTTTTTTCGCATTTTGGTATCTGGAATCAGGGTGCATTCTTATAAGCAATGACATCTTAGACAAAACATCACATTTAAGATAGGCTGAAAATTCTTTGCTACTCTTCTCATTGAAAGGTGGAGTCTAATTCCACACCCTTTAAAGCTGGTTTGCCCTCACTGACTTGCTTGACCAAAAGAATGTAGCAGATACGATGCTTGGGGACCTCTGAAGCTAGGTCAGAAGAAGCCTGGCAGCTTCCACCTGGGCTTTGTGGAACTCTTGCTCTGAAAGAAACAAGCTACCCAGCAGTAAGTCCCACCACCCCCAAGACCACCATGCTGTAAGGAAGCCCAACCAGCCACAAGGAAAGACTGTGGAAAATGAGAGATGGCTGGTGGTTGTCCCCAGCTGTTCCTGCCATCCTATTCTAGATGCCAAACATGTAAGTGGAGAAGCCAATTTGGACATGCCAGCCCAGGCAGACATGATTGGTTCTGTCTGTTGGATCAGTCAGAACCAAGGTCCCATTGGAAGGAGAGATGAGCCACCCCCAATGTGGCCTGTCTGAATTTCTGGATCCATGAAATTGTGTGCATGACACAATTGTGGTTGTTTTCCACCACAGACTTTTGGGGTGGTATATTACAGCAATAGATAATTGGGACAATCTTATGGGTGTATGCACTTACGTTGTCTGCTGTTTTCTATTTTTTATGCTGTGTTCTCCCCCACCATATGCTATGTTCTTTTTTATCTGTTGCTGTGTTAAATTCCACCCCAAAACTTAGTGGTAAAAAAAAAAAAAACAAAAAAAAACATGTTTTATTGTTTCTCTTGATTCAGTGGTTTGGCGATCTGGGTGATTTTTCTCTGCTGCTCTGTCCTGGGATCTCGTGACTGCAGTCATCTGAGTGGAGCTGGAAGGTCCAACTTGGCCCCAGCCAAATGCCTGGCAGCTGGTACTGGCCACTGCCTGGGGTGCCTCAGCTTTCTTTCTAGTGGCTTCTTGTCTTCCAGTAGCTGGGCTGGGCCCCACAGCTTCACAGCCTTGGGGTCTAAGATGCAAGATCAGAAGCTGCAAGGTCTCTTAAGGGCTAGCCCCCACAACTCACACAGTTCATTTCTGTGCATTCTATAGAGCAAAGCAAGTCACAAGGCCAGCCCAGATTTAAGAAGATGGAGAAACAGACAGCATCTCTTGACAGGAACAAGAGCGATGTCACATGGCAAAGGGGGTGGACACAGGAAACAAGCTTGGTTGAGGTGAGGCTGCCATAACAAAGTACCATAGAATAGGGGGCTTAAACAACAACACGAAATATTTATTTTTTCACAGTTTTGGAGGCTAGAAGTCTGGATCAAAGTGTTGGCAGGTTGGTTTCTCCACCTGATTGCCACAGGTCACTCAAATGCAGCAGTCCAGGACCACACTCACACTCGCTGTCCCTCCTCAGTCTTGGTGCATCTCTACCCGAGCTCCCTACCCACCCTCCTTTTCCCAGTCCGAACATCTCCCCAGGTGCGAGGAGACATCCTATTGTCAGAAAAAATTTCAGACTTTCTAACGCGAAAAAAAATTTGGTTATTCACTAGAACGCCCGAGCCTCTGATGATCGAGTTATCATAGGGGACATAGGCCTTTGTTTTGGACTACACCATTTCATACCTCATAGGGGTAGAAGTTAACCTCCAGAAAACAGGGAGCAACATAAATGATCCTTGCCCATAGAAATGCAAACTAGCTGTGTGCAGTGAAATGCCAGGAGGGATGGACTAGTTTTTGCAAATCCATTTTAGCATTCCTTTGACTTCCCCTTTGAACCAGTTGTAGCACCTTATTGGTTTATTCCTTATTGAATTAAATAAGACCTTTGACATGTTTTCATTTGATGTATGTGTGAAAATATGATTTTACCTTTAAAAAAGTTATCTTTGACACCTGACATTTCCTTCCCCACCCCCCACCCCTTATCCACCCTCAAAGCTGACAAGATAACTTTCTAAAGGTGTCTTGTTTCTACCCACTTCTCTCTTACCTGTCATCACCAGTTTGCCTGAATTGGCTGCATTAGGCTCCCACCTGGCCCTCTTCCCAATCATTCTCCACACAGCAGCCAAAGTAATCTCCTTACCAGTCTTTTTTTTTTTTTTCATTCTGTCACCCCAGGTGACACTGCAGCCTCCAACTCCTGGGCTCAAGCTATTCTACAACCTTGGCCTCCCAAGCAGCTGGGACTACAGGCGCAGGCCACCACGCCTGGCTAATTTCTTCCTATTTTTAGTAGAGACGGGTCTCGCTCTTGCTCAGGCTGGTCTAGAACTCCTGAGCTCAAGTGATCCTCCTGCCTCGGCCTCCCAGAGTGCTGGGATGACAGGCGTGCGCCACCAGACAACCATTCAATCTTTTCGGTGTCTCTTTTCTGTTTAACTTCCTCCAAGGGCTTCCCATTTCTTTTAGAGTAAAGGCCAAGGTCCTTGCTGTGCTTGTTCAACTTCCACATGGCCTAGCCGTCCCTCACGTTTCCTTCAGGTCCTCTGTGGAAAGACCTTTCCTGCCTCAGGGCCTTGGCACCAGCCATTTCTCTGCTGGGAAAATTCTTCCCTTCTTATCCTGTTTACTCCGACTTGGCCCTGGATCTTGGCTAAAATGCGCATTGCCGAAGAGCCCTTTGAAGTCCCAGATGGGTTCAGGCCCTGCCTTCTCCCCAGCATACTTTCACGACACCTCTGGCTTCTGCAGAGCCCTCATCTCACCTCCGGCGTCTGCACCCAGGCGGTGGGGCGCGGAGTCACCCCGCGGGCCGGACGGGCCCCGAGGGCAAGCCCGGTCCGTCCCGCTCTCCACTCCCCGGACGCGGAGGGGCCTTTCCCGAGCGGACGGTGAGCGGCGACAAGAGGGACAGCCTGCGGGGCGGAGGGACGGGGTGAGGAAGCGGCTCGCGGCCCCGGCCCCCGCGAGGCGCACCCCCTCTCGCACCCCAGAGCCGCGCGCCCCGCGACGCCGCCGGGACCGCCGCACCTGAGCGCGGGGCGCAGCCGGGGCCGCGGGGCGGGGCTTCGCCGGACCCGGATGCGGCCCCGCCCCCGTCCGCGGAACCGGAAGTGGAGCCTGGCGCCTGGGCTCGCGGCGCAGCGGGAGCCGGGCTGACCCGGGCCGGACCGACGCCGGCGGCGGTGAGCGAGGCGGCGTCCCCGGGCGGGCGGCTGGGCTCTCCGCCCCACGGCCGGGGCGCCACCTGCCCCGAAACGGGAAGGAAGCGGCGGCCGCAGCGGTCTCGCCACTCTTCCGCCCGCGGTTTCGGGGCGGGGAGCGCGGGGCGTCCCCGGCCGGGGCGCGGGCGGGGTGCGCGGGGGAGGGCGGGCCGGCGGGGCCGGGGCTCGGCGGAGAAGGTTGGAGGGGCCGGCTTGGGAGGGTCCGGGTTCCGAGGCGGATGCGTGGGCCCGGAGGGCGTGAGGGGACGGGAGAGGCCAGACCAAGAAGGGGGCTGCGCTCCAAGGGGGAGGGGCGCTGGGCCTCGAGTGCTGGGGGTCCGGGGCCGGGGAGCCGGAGGGGCCGGGTCAGGGGGCATGGGGGGGAGGCGTGAGGGTTGGAGCGGAGGGGTCGGGGTATGCGGGTGTAGGGGAAAGGGACTGGGGGTCCGAGGGCGAGGGACGCTGGGCCTTCGGAGCTGGGAGGTCAGAATGGAGGGGCCGGGGTATGAGGGTGTAGGGGAAAGGGACTGGGGGTCCGAGGGGAGGGGCAGGCGTCCGAGGGCATCGGAGAAGAGGACGGGGGTCCGAGGGCGAGGGACGCTGGGCCTTCGGAGTTGGGAAGTCAGAATGGAGGGGCCGGGGCCTGTGGGCGGGGGTGGGGTCCGAGGGGGAGGGCACGGGGGCTCCGAGGGGCCCGGACGGGCTCTGCAGGGGCCAGTGCCGGGGCAGCTGGGGACCTGGCCCGCACCTAAGGGGAGGTTTTGCAGTCAGCAATCAGGTCAGTGGGAATGCGGCGACACAGCAGCCGCTGCTAGTCGTGAGGCTCTAAATTTGGAACCGTCCTTCCTTCTGAATGTTTGAAATCACCAGAAAGGTGCTTTGGGGTTTCTGATTCTTACATTGTGATCGCCTGGCTATTCAGCGGATGCCTGCTCCCCCGTGCTGGCGGGTCTCTGGTGAGCGTGGACAGGGCTTCCTCCGACTGGAATCTGTAGACGTGTCTGGCCACTTGGGGAGGAATTCCATTTTCTGCTGAACACAGCTCTTGAGGCGGCCCAAGTGAGCGCTCCCAGGGATCTTGTGCCAGATTGTGCCCACGCTCCTTTGGGCTCCGTTTTGACTTGGCTGGACAGTGCTTTGTCAGGGGGCTTTCACCCTCTAGGTCCCTACGGTGGGATTCAGTCTGGCCCTGTGAAGCCTGGGTGGGCCCCAGGGCCTGGATTGGGAGTGGCCGCATGCCTGTGCCTCCCTTCCGTGTTTGACGGTGTGGGTGAGTCACTGGCTCTTGCACATTGAGTCAATCTATTTCTCCTCTGGTTAGAGGAGTATTTGCCAGATAGTCAAGGAATAAGGGAAAATTTCTTGAATGGGACTTTAAGCCTAACAGAATAAAGAGGTGGGAAGGCAGGGTTGTTTTGATATCAGGTTGTTTGGTATTGGAAGTTTACACTCTGTTTACACTCTGTTATAACTGACTTTTAAAAAATTCATTTTTGGAAAAAGACAGGGTCTTGCTATGTTGCCCAGACTGGAGTGCAACGGTTATTCCCTGGGCTCAAGAGATCCTCCCACCTCAGCCTCTGGAGTAGCTGGGACTACAGGTGCCACCACCTTGCTTGCTAAATAAAGCTGGCTTTAATTGTAGCATTTTGATGGACTTGGCTTTATGAGTGCATTAGTAGTTGCCCAGGGCTGGAGGGATGGGAGCGGTGATTGGAGGTGATGACTACAGGGTACAGGGTTTCTTTTTGAGGTGATAAAATGACTCCGAAATTGATGGTGGTGGTGGTTACACAATTCTGAACATACTAAAACCACTCTGTAAACATACTAAAAACTCACTTTTTAAATTACAGTGAGCGTAATTGCTGATGCAGACCTTTGGTCCCTTACACACAGTAGGTGCTCAGAACACGTGTGGTTGAATACGTGAGTCAGTTGAATGGGTATGTCACGGTGACCATTAGTTACTGCCTTGTACTGCAATGTTCCCATGTCCTGGGCCAGCCAAGAGCAGGGGACTGCATGTGTCCCATCAGAGTCTTGTCTCTCACTGCTGTCTCTGTGCAAGCAAGCCCACTCCCCTCTGCTCAGGCACTGCTTTGAGCAAACTGTGAGTGAAAGTGCTCAGGGTGAGAATGGGAGGGGGTTTCCTTGGAGCAAGTGTGGTGTCCGGAGTTGGCCTTGGGGTATCTGTTTTGGCTGCTCAAAAGCCTTTTGGTTCTCTTTGGCTTTCTGCTATGCTGTAGATAGTGAGCTCAATGTAAAGATGATTCTGGATGGGTGGTTCTGTCCCATCATGTAGAACGTTCTTCCATAGAGGAGATTATCACTCTGTTTATACAGGTCAAGGTTGCTGCATATTGTACAATCTTGATTTGTACAAGTGACATTTGCAAAGGGGGTTTAATATTAATGGTGCTGGATAGAGGCATTATCTTTTTTGAACAGTATTTTTTTGTAACAGCAGCATTGAGATGTAATTCACATGCTATATACAATGCACCAATTTAATGTGTACAATTCAGTGGTTTTCAGTATGTTCACAGAGTTGTGTAACTATGACCATAATCAATTTCAGAGTAATTTTATAACCTCAAAAAGAAACCCTGTACCCTTTAGCCATCACTTTCACCCTCTACCCACCATCCCTCTAGCCCTGGGCAACTACTAAAGCATTTTTTTTTTATCTCTATAGATTTGCCAATTCTGGATATTCCATTTAAATGGAATCGTATAATACATGATCTGTGGTGACTGGCTTCTTTCACTTAGCATAATGTATTTAAGGTTCATCCATGTTGTAGCATGTGTCAGTGCTTCATTCTTTGTATGGCTGAATGACCTGCCATGTGTGGATAGACCACATGTTACATATCTCCTCTTCAGTTGATGGACATTTGGGTTGTTTCTACTTTTTGGCTATTATGAACAATGCTGTTGTGAACATTCATGTGCAAGTTTTTATGTGGCTTATGTTTGCATTGCTCTTGGGCATGTACCTGGGAGTGGGATCTCAGTCTTTTAGTACCTCTTTAACCTTTTGAGGAAGTGCCAGACTGTTTTCTGTTTTCCATTCCCACCAGCAGTATATGTAGGTTCCAGTTTCTGCACACTCTCACCAACGCTTGCTATCATCTTTTAGCTTTTAGCTGTCCTGATGGGTGCGAAGTAGTTTCTCATTGTGGTTTAGATTTGCATTTCCCTGATGGTTAATGACATTGAACATCTTTTCATGAGCTTATTGGCCATTTTTATATCTTATTTGGAGAAAGATATCTTCTGTTCAGATCCTACACCCATTTTTAAATGGGATTGTTTGTCCTTTTTATTATTGCGTTGTAAGAATTCTTTCTATATTCTTGATATGTGGTTAGAAAATAGTTTTCACTTATTCGATGGATTGTGTTTTCACCTTCTTGATGTTCTTTGAAGCACAGAATTTTACATTTTGTCCAATTTATTTTTTTCTTCTTGTTTTTGGTATCATACCTAGGAAACTATTGCCAAATTCAAAATCAAGATTACACGTAGTTAGGATTTTAATTCATTTTTTAGTTTTTGCATACGGTGTTGAGCTAGGGGTTTAGAGGCATTATTTTTGGATCCATAAGATACTTAAGCTTATTTTTCAATTAGTTATTTTTATAATTTTTTAAAATTTTAAATATCGAGGGGATGATAAATTATTGTGGATTAGAGGCTTTCACTGGCTGCCCTCGGGTAGATCTTTGTAGATGCTTGCTGATGACACCAATAACTGCAGTATCCAGAATGTACTGAGAAATCCACGGGAGTTAGGCTTTCCAGAGGGGACTGGGGAGACAGAAGGAGCAAATAGTTGGGTCAGTAACTAAAGAGGACCGGGTGTGATGGCATGCACCTGTAGTCCTAGTACTTTGGGAGGTTGAGGCAGGAAGATCACTTCAGCCCAGAAGTTCGAGGCTGCAGTGAGTTATGAATGGGCCGTTGTACTCCAGCCTGGGCAACAGAGCAAGACCCCATCTCTTAATAAAAAAACAGGGACTAAGGAAATTCATTAAGTATAGAGTGGGCCAGCCACCATCCCTGTAGTTCCTAATGCATGAAAAGCTGCATCCTGATGCACATGGCTCTCTGCCTGGAACTGGCTTGTTGCTAGGGAACAAGGGGTTTTATTCATCTGATATGTGATGTCTAGCAGTGCGGTGTCCGGTTGAGGCCGATGTAGGGTCTTAGGGAGGAGGCTGTGTGCTTGGCCACCATCTGGGGAATTGGAGTGTTTTTCTCTGCCCAGTAACCCTATACATTCATTAGGAATGCAGCCCACTTCTGCGCAGCTCTCCAGCCACGGAGCTCACGTCTTGATAGTCAGTGTACTAGTTTTTCCTCCCAGCCACATCATGGAGTGTTTTTCTTTCATTTCTATACACACACACACACATATATATACACTATTGTATTGTGAGGTGTGTATATATATCTCACAGTAGAATTGTTTTGTTTTTAGTAATGTCATAAATTATTAATAGAATGAGTGAAACATGAAGACCTATAAGATGTGTAGCAAACAGGAAACCTGTGCTAGCAATTGAGCCAATAATTTCTGCTTGCACTAAGAAGAAACATCACGTAGTTCTAAATCTTTTAAAACTTATTGCCTTAGTTTCTTTAGGTTGACCTTTTTGATTAGTAAGATGTAAATCTTTCCATCCTCCTTTCCCATTTCTGTACAAAATCTTGTTACGTTTAGGAGCATTTCTGAGGTATTCTAAAAAGATCTCAACATGTAATTATTTGCCCAGAGAGCCTGTCACCAGATGTCCTTCTGAGCTTTTTACTCTTAATCTTTTTACAGACAGAATCATTCCCAAATGCCCGGAAATTCCTCATTGGATAACAGTGTTTTAAAGGGAGTTTTGTGAACAGCCTTTTATCTTCAACCAGAAAGAAAGGTTTGTGTGTTGTGAACACTAATATTCTTTCCACGTGAATGGCGAGGGTAACATCCCTTTAACAAAGAAAGGAGGAGGTTGCTTTCACTGTGAGTTTGCAGGGAGAGAATTTTCTGGAAGGAAATTTCATTGTTTAAAAAAGTCAAGTTTTTGGTATTGCTGATGACTTAGAAAGAGGAGGGAATTGCAGAAAACTCAGGGATGAAGGAATAGGAAGCGTTTCTGTCCTTTCAGAAGAGGCAATCTGGCCTCTTTCCAGCGTGTTCCATGGAAAGTGGGCAGGCCCACAGGGTATGTTATGAAGTGTGCAGAAATGCCCACCTTGCCAACTGGTGAAGCTGAGTTCCAGAAAGATTGGTGAAAACTATGCTTTGCTGATCTTTCCCTGATGAATCTGAAAAAGTAACAGGCAAAGACAACTGCTTTCGCCTTTGATGTGGGGTAATAACTGGCCTCTTTGGTCCCCAAAGACCCCCATCCTTGCCTATGACTGTTTCCTCAGTGGTTGAAACTATAAGCAGCTGAAGTCCCGCACATGGGCAGGCCCCTCTCCAGCACAGGTGCCATAAGGCAGACTCGAGACTGGGCAGACCATTTAACTTTCCTGTAGCCATTTTTTTTTCCATCTGTTAAATGGGCGCATTGTGACTAGACTGTCTGGTTTTGCCTTTCAGTGCTGAGATTCTAGTTTATCTGCTCTCTAAAATCCTGTCAAAGGCAGATCATGTCTGGGAAATTCTTGCCATACTTTGGGGCATTTAAATGAGGTTCAGGGTGGCCATAGTTTGAGGGGTATTGTTGGTTCCGCCCCACCCAGTGGCAGGAGCTGCATTTAGAAATTTGAGAGCCTCACTCTACCACCTTGGACTTGGACTTGAGACCCAGCCGGGCTGGAGGGGGCAGAGGTTTTTTTTAAACCTTTAAAGGTTAGAGTTTACCTTTGTAGTTACAAAAATAATTGTCTTGTTAGTGTCTACAGATGTGCCATTGTTCTCTATAATAGATAAAACCTATAGGCTTAAAGTGCTGAGGAAGAAAGATGACTATCCACTTTCAGAACTGTCCACTAGAGGAAAAGTTGGCATCTTATGTACCCTATTTATTCTGAAATAGATGGTAATGCAGTCAGCTAATAAATTACTTGAAACATTTATTTGTCAGTGTGAATTAAGAAAATCATTGTTATATTTCCAGTAAGCACTTGAAATCAAAGTGTATGTTCTTTCTTAAATATGTGTGCCATGAAGTTTACTATTAGCGATGTTTAGTATATTTATAATGTGCAACCCCAAATGGTATGTGTTTTTTTTCTTTTTAATTTTTTTTACAGAAGGAGCCTCTGCTGCCCAGTCTGGAGTGCAGTGGCACAGTCATAGCTCACTGCAGCCTTGAACTCCTGAGCTTGAAAGATCCTTCCGCCTAAGCCTCCTCCTGAGTAGCTGGGTCTACAGGCATGTGCCACTGCAGCTGGCTAATTTCTAATTTTTTTTTCTTTAGAGACAGGGTCTTGCTATGTTGCCCAGCCTGGCTTCTAACTCATGGCCTCAAGCCAATCCTTGCATTCCCAAATTCCTGGGATTATAGGCATGAGCCAACACGCCCAGCCTGCTTTTTTCTTTTTCTTTTCTTTTCTTTTTTTTTTTTTGCTTGGCAAATAGTGTTGTCATAAGATTTAGCAGAATAGGGATTTGTTCTTAGTGAATAAAGTAGATGCACAGCCAACTGTTTTATTTTCCAGAAAATTTTCTCACTCTCTCTCTCACTGGAAGCAACAGAGGGTTTCCAGTGTCTTTCTGAAGCCGGTTGACAACAGTGTTAGAATCCTCAGTGCTAAGTGCTTTAATGCCTGCAGTGGTCATCATAGGGGTCATGAAAGATCACCTGCTTGTGCAGCTCCCACCCTCTCTGTGCTTAGAGTCTGTAATTTTGATAAAAAACTACAGATGGGCCAGACACGGTGGCTCACACCTGTAATCCTAGCACTCTGGGAGGCCAAGGCAAGAGGATTGCTTGAGTCCAGGAGTTTGGGACTAGCTTGAGCAAGAGGAAGACCCCATATCTACTAAAAATAGTAAAAATTAGCTGGGCGTGGTGATGTGTGCCTGTAATCACAGCTGCTTGGGAGGCCAAGGGGAGAGGATCACTTGAGGCCAGGAGTTTGAGGCTGCAGTGAGCTATGACGATGCCACTGCACTCTAGCCAAGGAGACAGTTTGTCTCAAAAATAAATAAATAAACCTACGGATGGGTCCTCCGAGGTCTCCATGACCCTTTCGGGGCTGCTTTTTCAGATGTGGAAAGCGTCGGCAGGCCACGCGGTGTCTATCGCCCAGGACGATGGGGGAGCTGACGACTGGGAGACCGACCCCGATTTTGTGGTAGGAACCACCAGCCTTTTGCTTCTTGTTTTTCTAGAAGTGTCTTTCCCAGGTTATTGTTTGATCAGGCAGTTTGTGTTATAATCCAGGGCTGGAGTTTACTGGTTCTTTTTCTTTGCAGAATGATGTGAGCGAGAAAGAACAGAGATGGGGCGCCAAAACTGTGCAGGGCTCCGGGCACCAGGAGCACATCAAGTAAGAGACCTCGCCGCCACCCTCGTGAATGGGACGTGGTGTGTGAGGGCGTGGGTGGAGTGGGGCGTGCCCCTGATCTGCTGTGTGGGGCTGCTTTTGTCTGTCTTCTTGGCCTCGTGTTCACACGGTAGATGAGTATGAGATCTGATACACTAACATCTGCATTTATGTGCATATTTACATGCATATATGCTCAGTAGTTTTAAAATTCCGTTTGCAAACAGTTTTATATCTGTAGTTCTAGAGAGTCTACTTTTCATCAGGCAACACAGTTACTTAAGCTCTTTTTTCTACAAGTGGGAGATATCTTTTTCTTTTTTTTTTGAGATAGAGTCTCGCGCTGTCGCCCTGGGTAGAGTGCAGTGGTGTGATCATAGCTCATTGCAACCTCCAACTCTTAGGCTCAAGCGATTCTCCTGCTTCAGCCTCCCAAGTAGCCGGGACTACAGGCATGCACCACCACGCCAGGCTAATTTTTCTATTTTCAGGAGAGACAGGTCTCGCACTTGCTGGCAAGTGGGAGGTTTCTAAAGTGTGAGAGGTCTTTGAATAACTTAGACATTAAATGCCTTCCTTCCTTTATTTTCATTATTGTCTGAAAGTATTGTGTATTGCAGAATTTAATAGGTACTGTGAACTGAATTGTAAGCTTTGTTCTTATGAAAAGCCCAAAATAGGAGAACTTAGTGGACCATGTCATTGTTTCTGACTTGGCACCATCTAAAATGCTAGCTCTCAGGGTAGTTTGTTTTCTTGTCAGGAAGTGTAGATAAAAGGAACTTTAAACATGTGTTCAGACTTTTATTGTAGGTGGGGCTGGGCTCAGTTTATCCTGCGTTCCCTGCCGCGAAGGCAGAGCCACTGGCCGATGACCTGCTCTGCCACTTTGGGAAGACTCTGACTTGCTTGGCCGCAGTGTCTTTGGGTGAGAAAAATTCAGTAAATCATCTAGAAAAGAAGGCAAAGTCTGTACAGTGGCTTTTTATTTTTATTTCTTTAAAGAAATAAAAGAGACAGGGTCTTCTCTGTCATGCAGGCTGGAGTACAGAGGTCCTGTCATAGCTCGCTGTAACCTCAAACTCCTGGGCTGACGCAGTCCTCTCTCGTCAGCCTCCTAAGTAGCTGAGACTGCAGCCATGAGCCAACGCACTTGGGCAGCAGTGGCGTTTTAGACATAAGTGTTAGTCCCTGCGTGACTCACTCAGTCCACTCCCTTCCAGAGAAGCAGCTTGAGAACGCAGAGGGTCCTGGGGCCAGCTGGGGCAGGAATTTGAAATGGGGGCTGACCCAGGAGGCTGGTGCAGCCTTGGCTTATTTGCTATGGGGTTAGGCAGACTAGTGGACTCTCACATTGGTGATGTCATCACATGCCTTCCCATCTCTTCTGTTCCCTGTGACTTCAAAACGTGTTGGAGAGGGTAGGTTGGAGTACAGAAGGAACTCTGGTGGAAACAGCCTGTGATTTGATTAGGATTCAGAAAGGGAGCACGTGGGGACAGGACCATATTTGGTGCCCTGTGGTCCTTCGCAGATTTTAGGAGCCGTGTCTTTCTTTTCCCTGCTCGTAAGGGGGTTTGGTGGTTTCCAAGCCTAGTTTGCATTTCTTCTACATTTCTGGGATTATTGTCCAGATGTTGAAGGTGTGGGCCTAGTTTCTCCCAGGCAGAAAGGCCACATACTCAGGTGGCCTTCATAGCACTTTGGGATCTCTTGGGCAGAGCTGCTTCCTGGCCTGCCAGGTTTTTACCACATGTTGTGATCTGTTTCATTATTCCCTATATTTAAAATTTTAAAATGGCTTTTAGATGGTAAATTCTGAAAGACTTTCATCTTGTCTTTGTATAAAAAGCTGGAGTACTTCAACTAAAGACAGACTGCCTAGATGATTGGTATCACTGGGCTTCTGCTGGTGTCCTTGGGACATCTGGAGTAAGGGACCTGTGACTTGCAACCCCTCCCTCTGGACCGAGCTAACTCATCCATCTAATAAAACAAGAATCTTTTCTCCATGTGAAATAAAGTTCAAGTTTCAGTAGAGCTCCTTTTGGGGGGTGGTTGAGATGATCATATTGCACATGTTCAGATTAGCATTCCTTCTTCCATGAAGCTTCTGTCTGACTCTGAGAGTGACCGAGGCGGATGTACCAGCTGTAGAATAGTCGGGAAAGCACACTGAAGGCAGGGAACTGGATGAGCCTCAGATGACCAAACTCACAGATTTGCAAAGACGATGTCACCTCTCCTTATTCAACTGGAAGGCAGGGATTCTCATTTATTGTATTTTATTGACTCGTTCCTATTTTCATCTCTCCCCTTCAAGCATACACAAGCTGAGGGAGAATGTTTTCCAAGAACATCAGACCCTCAAGGAGAAGGAACTTGAAACAGGACCAAAAGCCTCTCATGGCTACGGAGGGAAGTTTGGTGTGGAACAAGACAGGATGGATAAGGTGAGTGGACAATGGCTGCCTGTGCCAGGCTCCTGGTGAGCTTAGGTCCCTTGCCTGGTTGGCAGAGCCATCCCTCAGACTTCACTTAGAGTAGCGGTTACATTGGTTTAGGATGAGACTTACCCAAAGTAGTCCTTTGTTGATTGGATTTAGACATAAAGTGCTCGAGGTATTTAAGAAGCTCTTTAAAAAATTTTAGAGGTGCTGGAGTGTGGGTGTTGTGTGGGGAGTCCCAGAGGGCGAGACTGTCCCCCAGAGGCCAGCTATGTGATCAGGACAGCAGTCCAGAGGCATCTGACTGCAGATGTGGTCGTTACTGCCTGCAGGTCCAGCTTGCAGCCTGGGTTGTACCAATCTGCAGACCTAGACCAAACTTGTGGGCCCTTGGTTCCCAGCACACGTGGAAAATCAGCCAGCAGTACATAGCTGATGTCTTTCCTGCATGTGGTGACCTTCACAGAGGGATCTGGCCTTCAGTGTACAATCTGTGCCCACAAGCCTGGGGGAGAACACTCACTCTATGTAGAAGCAATGGGCGAAGCTTGGCACAGTGGCTCACACCTGTAATCTAGCACCTTAGGAAGCCAAGGTGGTAGGATCCCTTGAGGCCAGGAATTCGAGACTAGCCAGGGCAACATAGTGAGACCCTGTATCTACAAAAAATAAAAAACTGTCCGGGCATGGTAGCATGGGCCTGCAATCCCAGCTACTTGGGAAGCTGATACAGGAGGATCACTCGAGCCTAGGAGTTTGAGGTTGCTGTGAACTATGATGATGCCACTGCACTCAAGCCTGGGTGACAGAGTGAGACCCTGTCTGAAAAAAAGAAAAGCAAAGAAAGCAATAGGCAAGCCTCTTGTGAGTGAGTAGTCCTTGCTGGAGTTCAGACTGCCAAGCAGATGTTGATTGAAGCTGCTGCCTTTGCCAGTACCTTAGGAGAAAGGAGGGCTTATTTGCTCCCTCTGCAGAAAAGACGCTGTAGACCGCAGTGTGTTTGCGTGTTCCTCAGTAGAGCAGGTCTTTGTATTCTGCAGACATCTCGTAGAGATGAATTTCCAAGTGTGAGCAACACGAGATTGTTCTGACCTGATAGACGTCTGCCTTTTCTCTGTGGATGGAAGTGAACTATCAGCCAGTGTCGGATTCCAGTCAGTAATTTCATACCTGTCCCGCACCCACGGGTCACATTAACATCTCACCTGGGCACGTGACAGCGTAGTTGTGCCACAGTGAGCTGCACGTCCCTCTGTCCCTCAGCAGATTAGCTGACGTGGCCAGCCAGGGAGCACCCCAATCCACGTCCCCACGTAAGCTGGAGATGGAGTAGGGTGCGGGGCCGTCTGCAGGAAAGAGATGGGTGTTGCTATGTCACTGTGCCACTGCCACAGAGATATCCTGACACTGAGACAGTGTGCAGAGAGGAATCATCTTCGGATTCTAAAAAAAAGTCTGGTAGCTTTTGGGAATGCACATGAACAGACAAAACTAAGTGTGTTCAGGGCGGTGAAAGAATCAAGTAGGTAGAAGCTTTTTCCATTCCAAGCTGAGATGGGCTCTGTGCTCGCCAGGCTTGTGGGGAGTTACAGCAAAGAGAAAAGAGAAATCTATTCTAAAAATTGGACCCCTCTCTGGGTTGGGAAAATTACATGTTGAGGAGCTTAATAAACACATATCAAAGAGGAGCCTGGTAATGAACCTGTAATGATCTGGCTTCTCTGCTGCTGCCCAGACGGTACCCCTGGCTGGCCTGCCTCTCACTCATCCTTGACCTACAGCGCAAGCCTTGTCTAGTCCAGGAAGCTTCCCTGAAGAGCTCAGCCCTTCCCTGTGCCCTAAGAGGCCACCTGTCCCCTGTGTCTTCTCCACCTTAGCTTCTGCTCCAACTCGGTTGGTTGTCACTGGCACATTGTGCCGTCCTTTCTACTGAGACACTTCTCTCTGGGGTGGGTTTTTTGAGGGCCCCATGCTGCTTCTCCTGGGAGGATGAATCCAGCAAGGGGTGTCACCACTGTCCCTGCCAGCTGACAGCACTCACCACCCCATTAAGCATTTAGTAAAGGTTAGCGCTCAGTTCAGGTGAGCACCACAAGGCAAATCTGTAGTCAAAAATAACTCAGATTCCAAACCCAAGGAGAAATGGCTTAAGGTATTTGTGACTTGCCCTTTCCAGAAATTGAAAAAAAAAAAAAAAAATTGAGATCCGTGTGTTAAGAATTCAGGAATATGCAATAGAGACTTCCAGAATAAAACACTTTGGGGCAGGCACACATTTGCAAGAGGAGCCTGCCCAGGAGCTGTGGGGTTCTGTTTCCGCTGTTGTCTATGCACATTGCACCCTCCATCAGGCCGGCTTCCTCTTCCTCCCTCGTCTCTGTGTTCTAGAACCCTGAATCCAAACACTCACTGACTATCTAGTAACAAGTGTGATTTTGTCGATATAAGATCAAAGACAATTTTGGGGATAAATCTGTTTCAATCAGAAATTGGAAATGTTACCAGGCTGTCACTTTGGCCGTATTTTTAGAACGATTTTCTTATAACTTCTCTCTGGTGGAAACTGATGCCAGGGAAACCCTCTGGCCCTGCTGTCTCTGGCCACTTCTTTGCGTGTTCTGGGGAAGACCCTGGAGGCCGCAGTGGGCAGTCTCTACCACAGAAGGTTTTGGAGGTGGTGGCTCGTGTGGACAGTCAGACAGCTGCTGACCTCAGAACAAATGTGGGAAGAAGAGAAAGTAACACTGCTCCGGAGTTCAGAGCAAACCCGCCTTATTCATTAGGAGAGAGTGGACGCTCTGAGTGCCCTGCGGAGCGTCAGGGTGGGGCTGAATGCTGCTCATTGTGGGGCAGCCTCGATGGGGACACACAGGAGGTGGAGCAAGAAAAAAGCTCTGCACGTGCTGTGGGCTTTCTCCACGCCCCACGCTGGGTCACGTGTTCTCATCATCCATGAAGGAGCCCCTTGACTTCTGGGCCACTGTGTGGAGGGAGCCTCGAAGCCTGGGGCCTTGCTGAGCCCGAGGGTGAGTCCGATGGGGCTGGAGCAGGACCAGGGGCTTTGTGGACCACATGGTTGGTCGAAATTACTGAACTTGGTGTTTGAATCAGAAAAGCAGCCATGGCCAGTACGTCAGTGAATAGATGTGGCTGTGTTCCAGAAAGCTTGCTTTACAGAAAGAGCTGGACACAGGGTCTGGCCCAAGGCCATGGTGGCTGAGTCCACGTGGAAAGCTTCACCTCCTGGCTTTGCTGCTTGGTGCATGTGTGACCTTGACCAGAATGTCCCTGAACCTGTGCCCTTTTCCGATGGGGGCTGACGGTACTGTTGGTGATGCTGGAATGAGCTGGTGCAGCAGCTGGCTCGCTGCCTCAATGGGGCACGTACTCAGTAGATATCAAACGTGCATCTAGCTTATAACTGCAGCATACGTGTGTGTTTCAGTTTGTTAGCAAAATAAATATTTTTTGTCCTGATTCTTGGGTCATGTGGTATGTAAATTCTCAGTTTAGTAGGGCAACTGTTGCCAACCGTCTCCACATAAGCGGGTCTTATGAACTGTGTCGCAGGCTGCCGACTCTGTGTCCTTTCTTCACAGTGATCAATTGTGTCAGAAGCCTCCGCCTATGGCTGGGGTTTGTGGGTGGCTTCCTAGGGGACCCAGGGCTGGGGTGGGCAGTGGACCTGCAGGGGCTTGGACAGCTCGAGGCTGCGGTTCCCTCCAAGAGCTGAGTGCCCCTTTGTCAGCTCTTAGGTTGGGTGGGTGGCTTTCTCCTTAGTGCCTGCAATGGGAGGAGATGAAGAGCCGTGCTACTGTTTGGTGTATAATGCTGTGTTTTTGGACCCTGTTCCAGTCAGCTGTCGGCCATGAGTACCAGTCAAAACTTTCCAAGCACTGCTCACAAGTTGACTCGGTGCGGGGCTTCGGAGGCAAGTTCGGCGTGCAGATGGACAGAGTGGATCAGGTGAGCATGTGCAGGGGGAGGCAGTTGGGAAAGGGGATGTCTCCGCAGAGCAGAGCTACCATCTGCATGACATGCTACTGCCGTGCATGTCCTCTGGGCCACATGCAGTAGCACATAGGTGCACTCCGACTCCCCTGGACTACGTGGGGGCCGCCAGACCCAGGGACTCCAGGGCCCTTCCCCTCCCTGGATGCTCTGGGAGCCTAGGCCACTGGGTGGGGAAGCAGGACAGCGACGTGTTTGCTGTAGCGGTCCATCTGGTCACTCTTCTCTGAGTGCCCCCGGTCCTGGACAGCCTTAGATTTGTCCAAAAATGTGCCAGCGGGGACCAGCTCTGCCCTCCTTTCCCACGTGTGTCGCTGTGACAAGGTGACAGTCAGAGCCTGTGCTGTGGAGCGTGATGCACACTGGGTGTCCTGGGCTCAGGCTTAGCATCCAGATGTGGCTGTTCCAGGCCTGAGCCTGTTCTCGGATTCTCTTCGGCTTGGGGCTGTCAACCCCTTTGTTTTCTAATGAAATAGGATCCTGGAATGAGCCACTGCAAGCAGCAGACCTGGACAGACCTCAGTTTGCGTTTGGCTTTGCGACACATTAGCTGTGTTCTGAATTAACGTGTGTATGATGTGGCGGTGATGATACCTACCTCACGGGTCCGTGTGCAAGTGGGTGTGACTGTGTTTGCCCGTGTTGGCGCCTGGCCTGCGGGTGGCGTGCACAGTAGCTGTTCCTGTTTTGCTTGCTGAATTAACATTTTTTTCTTAGCATGGCTTATTGAAAAGGGAGTTTATGTGTGGCGTACGGAATAGTTCCAGATTGGCGTTGTGTGGCTGAAATGAATCAACTGAGCACACTCTGCAGCAGTGTGCTGGGAGGGCAGGTCACCGTGGGGACAGCTTGGCCTATGTAGCTCACTGGGCTTTCTGGAATGTTTTGGGGCACATAAACTCAAAGCACCAGAGCTTTTGCATTAATTTCACTTGTGTTTGCCTCAGGAAACCACAGGCCAGAAATAACATTGTGTTTTTAAAAATTTCATGTATGTTGCGAACTTAGAGGGATTGTTTTGGAGACATTTAAAAATGCATTGTCCTGTCCTCCTTTGTCTTTTGGTGACCACAGTCTGCCGTGGGCTTCGAATACCAGGGGAAGACCGAGAAGCACGCGTCCCAGAAAGGTGAGGCATGGAAGGTGCAGAAAGCACCTGCGGTCGGCTGGGCCTTAGAGCCACAGTCACCTGGAGCCTGTTTCTCTGGAGAATGGGCCGTGGCCACAGCAAAGACTCTTTCTCCTTTAAGTTTCTGGGTTGCCAGGAAACCATAAGATGTGTATGTTCCCGTAGCGCAGCGCGGACCCGTGGAGCCCTGGCATCCGGCGTCATGGTGCGCCTCCCACCTGCAGCAGAAGCCGCCCTCCCTCCATCTGGGCAGCTCTGCTCTTAGAAAAGTTATCACTCTGGCTTGGGTGGCAAAAAACTGCCTTCTCTCCCAAGGATAGAAACCAGAGTTGTTAAATTCTCGTTTTCGTTATAGAGGTACCATCTGATCTTACCATGGTGGTAATGAATCTTTATCATGTCATACTAGTCTCTAAAGCCGTTTTTAAAGAACGAAAGCATATCACTTTCTGAAAGTCCTCTGTGTGTGGTTTGCAAGCTTCATTAATTCTGCCTCTCGTGTGTCATCACGTAATCCGGGACACAAACTCTCAGCGCTCAAACGGTCCAGGTGCAGTCTCGGTGTTGGTAGCTGCCACTGGGCATGGGGGAAGACTCAGGACTTTTCTGTAAAGTGTCAGCTGCGGAGCTTTCTTCGTACTCTAACCTGTACTTGAACAGTTAACGTTCAAGTGGGTCCTCGGCTTCATCCCCCTCAATGCGAAGGGCCTGCCCTGCACCAGTGGAAAGGGACCAGTGCTCCTTCGTGCACATTGTCACCTGTGTGGTACAGTGGGTGGCTTGTGTGTTTTTAAAATGTGTGCTTGATGTCTCTGGGAGTCGCAATTTCCAGACGCTTCTGTTTTGCATAATTTAACAAAAAGGGGCGATCGAGTTGGTCCTCAGCCTCACATGCTGACTGCTGCCCTGTCTCCTCAGACTACTCGAGTGGCTTTGGTGGTAAATACGGCGTGCAGGCTGACCGTGTAGACAAGAGTGCTGTGGGCTTTGACTACCAGGGCAAGACGGAGAAGCATGAATCACAGAGAGGTATGGGGGCACTGCCCGGTCTTTGCTCATGTGTCTGCAGACACAAAGGGATGTACTCCCTGATGTAAGCTGGGTCACGTTCATCATGTATAAGTGCTCTTATTTATTTATTTTCTTTACTTAACTGATTTGGAGTTCTCTTCATGTCAGAATATATGGACTTTTCCTGTTTTTAATGGCTGCTCACCTCCCCCCCCACAAAGATTCTGTAGTCTATTTAAGTGTTCCTATTTTGAATGTGCAGTTAAGGTTATTTCCACTTTTTTGAGGAATACAGTGAATATTGAATACAGTGAATATTCTCATGCCTGTGCCTTACACATGAGTGAATATTCAGAAGACTCAATTCCCAGAAGTAGAATTGCTGGGTCAAAGCATAGTGAATTTGCAGTTTTGAGAGATACTGCCACATTGTCCTCAGAGGTTGTGCTGCTCTGTCCCTTCACCATGACATGCCCTGTGAATGAACGGTCACTCGAAGAGCCTTTCCTGGAGCTGCAGTAGTCCTGACCTCTTGGTTCCGCTGCACCGTTTGTTTTCTTTGGCCTACACCTTTACATTTTTAAAAATAGCAGCCAACATTTGAAAACTGAGAACTTCGATATTTAAAAGTCCAGGTTTTTTTTTAAGAAAACACCACTGAAAGTTCTGGCCACGCGGGCTTGACATTTCCCCGAGGAAAGCGCTAGCGGGCCTGGGGCAGCTCAGCCTGGAATCCGCTGTGAGGCTCCCCGGGCCCATGCTGCGGCAGGTTAGTTTGCTCTGCTTTCTCTTCTCTCTCTTCCCGGGGAGTGAACCGTCCTCTTTTGCTAGTCTGCGCAGGGCGAGGCAGGGCCTTAGCGGGTGGCGTGCAGGGAAGCCGTGCAGACGCATCTCTGGGGAGTCTGGGCGCCCAGGCCCAGGTGCCGCGGCAGGTTCAGGCTCCTCTGGTGCCTTGGCCCTTCCCTCCTGGGACTTGATCTCTGGGTTCTATGCCATTAAAGGTCCAGGAGAGAGTCATGCTTTATTGTCAAAATAACATGCTAAATGACTCCATTCTCCATAGAATGATGTTTCTGGAAGTTGCACTCTGCGCAGCCTTTTTCCTCGGGGACCCTTCCCGGCACCCTGCTGCTCTGGGTCATCCTCATCCCAGAAGCCCTGTTACAGTGACCAACGCCGGCTGTCTCTCGGGGTGAAGGATGATGCTGCAGTTATTAATCTGTTATCTTTGCCACTCTGTATTATTATACATAAGTAGTACCCTTGAATACTGTCCAGGTTGCTCAGTGATCTTACAGTGAGCCGGACTTTTGTTTTATTTTTTTAATTAGCGATAAAAGTACTTTCTTAAAGACTGCTAAGACCCTAGCATGTTGACTGATTTTGTTGCTCGTTTTTAAATGGTGCTTTTTTTGGTATCGTTTTAGATTACTCTAAAGGTTTTGGTGGCAAATACGGTATTGACAAGGACAAAGTGGACAAGAGTGCCGTCGGCTTTGAGTATCAGGGGAAGACTGAGAAGCACGAATCCCAGAAAGGTGCCTTAAGTTTTATGTCATTCTCCAGCTAGCAGCTATTAACGTGACAGGTGTTAGCCAGAATAGAAAAGGAAAACAACCCTTAAAGTAGATAATCTTTTTAATTAAGTATTCAACTTTAACACAGCAAATCCAGAACATAGCTGTGCAATAAGAAGTCAAATGTTTACACTTTCGTTGGCTGGCAGACCCCAGCAGAGTTGCTTATGACAGTGGCCATGCACCGCACGTCTATGTTGTCAGTGTTGAGACGGTGCCGCCTCCCGGTGCTGGCAGAAGCTGCATGCATTGGAACTGCTTCTGGGGGTGGGGTCCCATCTGTGTCTAGTCACAATACTGAGATTCTAGGCTCTTTTCCTGGCCACTGCACGGAGGCCCTCTTACTGGATATTACCTGAAGCTTCACCAAAGATCCAGGAAGGAAAGGATAGATTTAGTGAGTTGTGTGTATTTAACTGCATTGAACATACTTTCTACCTGTGACCCAGGCTTCCAGTTACTGATAGATTGTGGCCTTTTATGTGTATGTAGACTATGTGAAAGGGTTTGGAGGAAAATTTGGTGTGCAAACAGACAGACAAGACAAATGTGCCCTTGGCTGGGATCACCAGGAGAAATTACAGCTGCATGAATCCCAAAAAGGTACATTCACTTTGACTACTCGTACTCAAGATCAGTTTAGAAGTGTGTTTTCGTTCATTCCTAGGTCAATTGATATGTGTTGTGTTTGCTTTGTTGTCACAGTGTTGTGCTTCACTGTTTGAAGTTGTCCTGTGCCTTCTATGGTGTCAGAAACCCCTCAGCTAGCGTGGGGGTGACCCCTGCCCTCTCACATGGGAGGCCTGCAGGGCTGCACGACAGGGGATGGGTTTACCTGGGGTCAGGAGACTTGGGCCAGCGCCTGCAGCACTCTCTGCCACGCTGTTTGTTTGCTGCCCTCAGAGTGTGGCACAAAAGCCACAGTGTCCTGGTCCATGGTTTCTTGTTTGTAAAGTGGCAGGAGACTCTTCCTTGTGGGACCCTGCCTTGGGAGAGGGAGTCCTAGGGGACTGAAAACCTTTCAGTGTAACCCGGACCTGAGCAGGGGTCAGGCACACCCATCCTTGAAGCCAGCACAGCGGGGTGGGGGCTCCCCTGTGTGGCCGTGTCTGTGTGTCTCTATGCAGACGTGGGGGTGCATTCTCTTTCTGCAGCGTGGGTAGGACCCTAGCAACGACCCTCCAAGCATGGAGTGGCTTTACTGAATCACTTAAAATATAGTGCTTAGCCTGTTTCGGATCATGGCTGAAGTGTTCAGATGTTAAGTTTGTTCTTCAACCTTAACCTTCAAAGCCAACTTCTGACTGTGAGGCTGGGAGCAGGTTCTTTAAGGCCCTAAACTCAGCAGAGCTCTTGCTTTCTGGAAACAATGTATTTGATCATTGCCATGCTCAGATAGTTCTAACCCAGCTTGTGTTTCCTCTCTTGGTTGTTTTCTCCACTGTCGCTTGTGGACTTTCAGATTATAAGACTGGTTTCGGAGGCAAATTTGGTGTTCAGTCCGAGAGGCAGGACTCCTCTGCTGTGGGGTTTGATTACAAGGAGAAGCTGGCCAAGCACGAGTCCCAGCAAGGCACAGTCGCCCCCCAGTCTCCTCCTTCCCCCCTTTGAGTGCAGCCACTTCTAGCACAGACTTCAGGGTCACCATCAGAGCCTGCAACACAGTGTTCTTAAGTCACCAACTGTATGCTGCCAGGGCTGCCGGGTGTAGTAAACCCACTTTTGTGTTAGGTGTAGTAACCTTGGGAATTTTCCTGTCTTTCCCATGCACTTTTTCCCTTATGGCCTTTACGATTTGTGTTTGGTAAAACGTGGCAGTTAGTCTGCAAGTTTTATCATTCTAACCCCACTACGTGTCCAGTTTCTGGAATGGGGCATCTCTGATCTGCTCTTGACCGTGGCTGCTGTGAGTCATTGAGTCACTGAGATGAGGAGAGACCCGTTTGGTTCAACCAAACCACTGACCTGCAGAGCCGAGGCTGATGGCAGGGAGGGCCAGGACACAGGCACGTTCCGTGTGGTTTCTGTGTTGCATTTGTGGTGGTGTTTTTCCCAGGGATGGGTTTTTTTTTTTATTTTTTATTTGTTTGGGTGTGTTTGGTGACATTGTCTCCATGTAATATCCCCACACGGAGCCATGCATATGGACACAAAGCCAGCCAGTGCAGCTTTCCTTAGAGCAGTTGTTCCATTACCTTCAAGATTCGGAGGTGGTTATTAGAGCCTGGACACATAATTGGAGCAGCGGGAGTCCCCAGCCTTACAGGGCAGGCCTAGGCTTTGAGCCCGCAGTGTTAGAAGCACACGGCAGCTCTCTGCCGTGGGAAGGTAAACACACGTGGGGAGGGTCCCTTGAGCTGCATGGAGGAGGCCATTGGATCTCTGTGGCATTACCACTGCATGACAGTGTGACTTTCATGTGGATCTGTGTTGCTGCAACAGAAGTATTTGGCTGGCAGAATTTCCACATGGATTTTTTTTTTCTTTCAAAAAGCAAGAGAACAAACTGCGATTGAGCCTCTTTTTAGCGCTCAGTCGCGCAGGAGCACAGGAATCATGAGAATAAGCCCGTGCTGGTGCGGAAGACTGTGCTATTGAAGTGGCGCGTTGCAAAGGCCTGTCCCATGCCCTTCCCTCAGCTTAGTCCCCCTGCCTGCTGCCCGACACCCCCCTGCTCCTCAGGAGAATGCCCACGCATGCCACAGGCCTGCGCTCTGCCTCTCGCCCGCCTGCGTGCCCAGGGCCGGTGTCACGTGCGAAACTTGCCTTGCCAGTAAAGACAGCGTTGGCGGTCCTTGTTTCTTTCCACGCCGGGGTGCTCTCTCTTGGGCTGTTTCTGGTCTGTCTGCATGCATCGGCCATCAGCCCCATGCCTGTCCTCGAGCTCAGAGTAAAGGTTGTGTTTTGCCACATTGCAGACTACTCCAAAGGATTCGGGGGAAAATACGGGGTGCAGAAGGATCGGATGGACAAGGTAAATATTTCAGACCCGGGGTTAAGTATTTTCTGCCAAGTTCCGGCATTTATGGAACTCTTGGTGTATCAGCCTGTGGTCTCCTGGATGTTGGGTGGCTCATGGTTCTGGAAGTATACCCAGTTGCCGGGTGCACACTGTTCCTATCACAGATGGTCCTGTGCTCCTTGGGGCAGTGCTGTGGGGTAAGTGCTGTCACCGTCCCTCTTCCCCGGCCACAGCACAGTGATGAGTGGCTGGCCGCCACTGGGCCCCAGGTGTTTAATGTGAGTGCTTCAGAGGCATGTGGTCAGTTGAACTTCAAGTCAGATTGGAAATTGCATTCTCGGGTCACATCAGGCACATCATAAAGAGCCATATTGTGGTTGGTGGCTGCCGTCCATGGACAGTGCAGATCTCAGCCGTTAGTGTTCTCATGGCAGGTCTGAGGGACACTGCCAACCTGGGGCTGTCATCTTAATCACCAAAAGATGTTTCTATGGAAACATTTTCTCTCCCATCGAGGATTCCTTCATTTATCTTTTCACTTTTGGCTGGTTTCATAGCCTTGGTGAGTCAATGTTAAGCATATGAAATGTTTGTTTTTTTTTTTTTCATCCGTAATCCAATGCTTTAAAAAATATTAGAGTTATCATTAGACTGTGTGTGGGGTTATCCAGACTGGCCGGCTGGACACTGTCATCTGCCTGTGTGACGAGCCGTGCCTGCTGTCTGTCTTGTATTGCGTCTAGCCATACAGACTCGAGCCCCGCCGTGCGCACTCCTATGCATGTGTGGCCTGGGGTCACAGGCGGCAGGGCTGCCCTCACAGGGCTCTGCTGCCATTGGGCTCTCTGCTGACCTCGTAGACAGTGTTGCCCAGTGGACTCTCCCCGTGGCCAGGGCTCCTGATGTGGGTCTTGGGGGCTCAGAGGAGGGCAGGAAGCTGGGCTGAGGAGTGTGGGGGAGTGATAGCCTGACTCAGTCCTGAGGGGTGGGTGGGGACCCAGTTAGGACAGATTCTGAAGAAGGCCCAAGCTGCAGAGCTCAGTAAGGGGTGAGGGGCTCAGTGGTCTCTTGGAGAGCCCCACAGAGCATGGAAGGCTTTGCGCTGCATGAGGTGATGGATGTGAGCGGCCCTGGAAGGGGTCAGCGGGCAGGGGACACTAGCGGGAGCCCCCGGCCAGTGAGCAGACTGGATCGTGGGGATGGCCTGGCCCGGATATAGTTGTGAGGAGAGAAGATCAGATGCCAGAGGTACCCAGGTGCAGAGTGACAGGGCTTGGTGTTAGGCTTCGAGGGGAGTAGGGGAGGGAGGAGTGAGGGTGACCTGAGGTGGACATGGGGCAGCTGGCGAGGTGGGAACTTAGGAGGAGGGACTTGGGTGAGTCTGCATATGGCCAGCACGTAGACGGAACTGGGACAGCAGGGAGAGCGTGCAGAGTGGGGGGCTCCGGGTCTGCACCCCCATGATGCTAGTGATCAGATGGTCAGAGGAGACTGGGTAAAGTGATCCAGCACGGGGGAAAGGGCTCAGGGAGGTGGCCTGGAACGGGTGGAGGGAAGGAGCTAACTGTGGGTGAGTCAGAGGTTATGACTTTGTGGCCAGAAGTTGAGGAAGTGTCTATATCGTGGGTGTCTGTGGTCAGAGTTGATGGTAATGACAGTGACCGCTGACCTCACAAAGACAGGGAAGGAAGTGTGTGAGGGGCCACCTTCGGTGTTGGGAGGAGGTTTGCTATTTGTTGTGGTCTGCCTCCATCCATGCTGTGAGGCCAGTCCCCTGCAGCGGTCCCTGCAGGGGTGTGCTGGCAGGTGCAGGATCGGAGAGGCCGGTGGCCTTGCCTTCGGATGGGTGTGAGCAACTCAAGGGCCTGGACGTGGCCCGACAGGGACATAGGTGCTAGCTGTGCAGAGGGCTGGTGCGGGTAGAGGGAAGGCGGCAGGGTCGGAGCAGAGAAGGCCTGAGAGGCGGGTGAGCCTCTGGGCAGACCGTCCTGGTCAGGAGGGGCCTGGGTGGTGGGACTGCTGCAGTTTTTGAGCCCTAAATGTTGCGGTCAGAAGTAATGAGATGTAGGATGCAACTGAGGACAGCTGTCGGTTTCTAAGGCCCCTGCTGGTCTGCGCCTGCATCGGCCGGTACGTGTCAGGCCATGGCCCTGCACAGCAAGCAGGTATGACCGTGCTTGCTGGGAAGCGGAGGATCAGTCCAACAGAGGCCCACGTGTGTCCCGAGTGTCCTTCCAGGCGCTAAGTTTCAAGGCCTCTCTTGGTGGCGAGGGAGTTGGAAGGCTTAAGGAAGTACTCAGGACGGATTTGTTGATGGAGCAGATGGAGAGAGAGAGGGGTGGTTTTTATTTTCGCGCTCACTCATGGTCACCAGCAGGTGTGTGTGGTAATGTTTGTCATGCCTCAGTTGCTTTGCGGAGTGGAGAGGTGGAGCTGAGTGTGCTGGGCTGTCTGGTTGGGTCTCGTGGAAGATCCGGGAGGCCTAAGCATTGCGTCAGGTAGGAGCCACGGGGGGCCATGACGGAAAGAGAAAAGTGCCTTCCTGATTCCTTCTCCTGTCTCCGTAGAACGCGTCGACCTTTGAGGATGTCGCCAAGGTGTCCCCTGCTTACCAGAAGACAGTGCCTGTTGAAGCTGGTGAGTCTTAGCAGACCCCCAGAAGCACTGCGTGGTTTTCCCAGGAAGAAAGTCCACGCTGTGTGGTTTTTCTGCACAGGAAAGTGCCGAGGGGAAAGGGATAGTTTGTGAAAGGGAGCCAGGAGCAGACGGGGCGTTCCTGGAGAGCGTGGTGGTTGCTGCATATTTTGGGGAAAGAAATTGACAATCCTTTTGACGAAGATGCTCTTTGCTCCTGGAGAGGTGAAGGGACATCTGCAGGCACAGCACTGTGGGGCTGTTTCAGTGGGGTCTGTTTGGAAGGCACTTCTCAAGTCAGAGAGGGCTAAGTGCACGCCTGCACTGCCGATGACAGGGCTCTGGGAGCAGCTCGGGCACACCCACTGCTCCCTGAGCCAAGCAGCCATGGCCACGACCGGAGGAAGGTGTTGTGACATCTGTGCACAGACAACAGGAGACGTCTGCTCTGCTTCACACTCGTGGGCCGTTGACCAGGCAGCTCGAAATCCTTCCTTTCGGTTGTCTGCTAGGCTCACAGTGCAATCAGATGTGGGCCTCGCCCTGAAGAGAGAATCGTTTAGTTGGGGAAAACATGAAACATGATAGCAAATGCTAAATTCACAATAGGAAGCTGAGAGCCTCTGTGCCGTGGGTGCCCTGATCCGAGAGGCTCAGGGCTCGTGGGCCCAGGACACTGACACACGCAAAAATTAGTGAGGGCCTCGGAGAGCTTTTGTTGATGTCGGTTGTATTTGTTGATATCTACTGTAGTAGACATTAGAGGAAAATTTTAAATTAATTTATTTGAAAAATAAGAAAAGTGTATACATGACACTTAATGAAAAAATGACTACATTTTTCTAAATAACAGGAGAGTGGGGATATTTTACCTTTTATAAATCTCTTGAATAGATGGCTGAATTCTTGTATCTGAGAATCTCACACCTATGGTCCCAGCTCCTCGGGAGGCTGAGGCGGGAGGATCGCCTGAGTCTAGGAGTTTAAGGTTGTAGTGAGCTGTGATGGCACTGCTGTATTCCTGGGCGATAGAGCAAGACCCTGTTTCTAAATGAATGAATGAATGAATGTTTTCTAGATTCAAGTTTTATAATAATTCTCTGTCCTACCAAGCATGTAGCACACCGTGATAGGCACAGAGGGCTGGCTCTGGGTGGCGGACTGAGCAGTAGCTTAGAGAAGCTTTCCCTTCTCAGTGGGGGCGACTGGGGTGGGTTCTAGGTGTTCTGAGGCCAGGTGTCCTCTCTCCTCCCTCTGTAGTGACCAGCAAAACCAGTAACATCAGGGCGAACTTTGAAAACCTCGCTAAGGAGAAAGAACAGGAGGACAGACGGAAGGCAGAAGCCGAGCGAGCCCAGCGGATGGCTAAGGAGAGGCAGGAGCAGGAAGAGGCCCGTAGGAAGCTGGAGGTGCGTGAGGAGGGTCCCCACCGTGCTCTCGACCGCAGACCTGCGCCAAGGGGGTGGGGGCTCTGGGGCTGCGCTTACTCTTTCCTGGGCAGGTCAGAAGGTTTTCACTGGGGAGTGTGTTTAGCTCCCATTTGAGGCTCTCCTGCAAGTTAGGAGCTGTACATATGGTCTCTGGCCTGGTCGATCCAGCCCCTGGTGACGGCCCGCTGCACTGCCCTGTTCATGACTGTCACTGGGGGACACCGGCATGCATCCATGTGTGCTTGCCCCCGTCTGGGTGGCTGGCCACTGGGAAGGCATTTCCTTGTGCCTCGCTGGGTGTGGGCGGGGAATCTAACCCATGCGATACAGCTGTGCTGGTGAAGCTGCCGCGTGTAATCCCGCAGCCAGGGGCCTCTGCACTGTGGCTGGTGGGCCCGGGTGTCCGGACACCCGAGCTTCTCCTGCCCAGCCCGGGTCCTGCTCCTCTAGGGGCACACATGGGACACGCTGGTACCGTGGGTGTTCCTGGCGAGTGGGGATTTACGACGGTTTTGGTGGATGTGCAGGTCAGGGATGGGCACAGATGCCAAGAAGTGTGCTGGGGTCTCCAGCCCTTGCAGTGTTCTTTTTAACAAGACTGACGCCGCTGTGGCCGTCCCAGTCTTGGCCTGCTGCAGAGGGAGCAGTGGGAGCGTTTGTGATGGCCGGATGGGGCTCAGACCCTGCTTCTGCCTGCCCAGCTGTGTGGCGCTGGGCATGCCGCCTCACCTCTTGTGGGCCTCCGCTTCCTCTGTGGTGGCAGCAGGCTGTCAGTGTGTGTTTCTTGTTGCTGCTCTGGTAAATCACAGACGTGGTGGCTTGAAACCACACATGGGTTCCCTCACAGGTCCGGAGGTGGACGTCCTAACTGATGCCGGCAGGGTTGTGTTTGTTCTGGGGGCTCTTGTGGCCCCTCCCCGCGCCCCTCCAGCCTCCACTCTCTCAGCATGTCTGCCCTGCCTCTCTCACTCCTCCCCCTTACCACGACCTAGAGTCACATCGGGTCCACCCAGACAGTCCAGGAATCCCCCATCTCAGAATCTTTCGCCTTATCATGTCTGTGGTCCCTTTGGCCGTGGAAGGCCACGTGTTCACAGGATCTGCAGCTTTGGAGGCCACTATTCTGCCTACCACAGTCCACCCTTGGATGGCCCCCCCAATTCATGTTCATCCCACATACAAAACATATGCACCCTTTTTAGAGGTCCTAAATGTCTCAGCCCGTGGCAGCATCAGCTTAAGGCCCAGAGTCATCTCCACCACGCAGATCAGGTACTGCTGGGGCTCAGCATCACAGCTCGGTGACTGCACTGGTGCATTCCTGACCACACTCTGCCACCCGTCCCTCGGGCCTGTGGTGGCAGCAGCAACGCAGTGAGCCACCATAGTCCTCTTCCTTGAGGCTGTTGGCTGACTGCACCCGCCCTCAGGTCCCCTGGGTGCTCAGCCTTGGTGCTCGGTGTCTCTGCTCCTTCACCGCGGAGGGTCTCCAGAGCTGGGGCCCGAGGCTTCCCCAACTCAGCGGGACTCTTGTCGCTGCCGAGCAGCGTGGTGGTGTCTTGACAGCCATTTGTTTTCACTGCCAGGAGCAAGCCCGAGCCAAAGCGCACACGCCACCTGCGTCCCCTGCCCCCCAGCCGGCCGAGGAGAGGCGGCCTCCGAGCCCTGTCTATGAGGTGGGTGTCTCCATCTGGTCTCCCGTGAGTCTCCGACTAGTCCAAGACAGGTTTCCTTCACGTAGCAGAAGCCTTGCTGGGCCGTGCAGAGGGGGAGGCTATGGCCTCTCCACTCCGTTCTGTGCCTGGGAGAGGGGTGGCCGCCAGTGTCTCCAGGGCAGGGGCTCTCCTCAGCGCTGTCCGAGGGGTAGTCCTTCAGGCCACGTGCCACCCTCCCCCCTCCGTGGCCCTGGACCAAGCCCCCCGCCACTGTCCTTCCTCATCCGCTGCCGTCTGGCTGCCTCTCACACGGTCCCTGTGAGGCCACCTGCTACCACCTCATGAGAACGGTTGGTCTGCCTCTCACTTGCTTTCCGCCTTGTTGGATGCTGGCCACGTTCCCTTCTGGAAATCCCGTCCTCCCTGGGTGGCAGGATGCTGCCCCGACGCGGTCCCACTCCCACGGCTGCTGCTCTTCACCCCACTCCTCCCTCCCCACCTCCTGAAGGAGTGTTCTCCAGATGCCGCCTGGCCCTTCTCAGTGTGGTCATTGGTGTGCAGTGACTCCCTCACATGTGTCCCCAGTGTTCTTTCCTCATACCTGAGTGACTAAACTGACTGCCTGAAGTCTAGTGTCCTCAGGCTCTGAGACCCCCCTCCCCATGGGTGCAGCTGCCCCCACCACCCCTGCCACCTGTGACCACGTCCAGCTGGGCCTGGCCCCTCCCCTGCAGCCTCTGTCCTGGTCCACACAGTCACCATCTCTCACCTGGGAGTCAGTGATTAGCAGGGGACACCAGCTGAAGTCCCGAGGAGGTCCTCGAGCCCATGGAGAGCTGTGGAGGTGGCCAGGGCCAGGGCCTGGCCCCCAGCTGGGCCATGGTCTCATCCCCTTTCTCAGCTCTCACTGCTGTGTCCTCTGCCTGTGCTTTATTCCGCCAGACCCCAGGCGGATGCGGCCATGGCCTCATAGCTTGTCACTTAGTGATAAGAGGCCTTGCACTGTCTGGCCGGCACTGAACTGAGAAGCTGGTCCTTTGGCGAGCAGGCCAGTGACACGTAGTCCCTGGTGGGTAGGAGGGGCCCACGTGATGGGGATGCTGATGTTGGAAGGTCGCAGCTCAGCCTGGGCTGCCACACTGTGACTTGGCCTACAGCCTCTCCCCTCTGCAGCCGGGGCCATCTTACCCAAGGGATGCTCTGACCCTATTGCTGCCTGCTGTTAACCCTGCTGCGGTCCCCAGTGCCTGCCGTGGGGGTGGCGGCACTCTGCATGGACTTGCAGCAGCTCTTCCTGCCTGGTTACACCCATAGACAGCCAGCTCTTGGCCGCTGCCTCTTGTAGGAGCCCCATGTGTGCAGATCTGGGCTGTCTGCTGTGCTTTCTCTAACCCTTGGAGGGTCCTTCCCATAGCCCCTGGTGAGAACATGGATGCCAGCCCTGTTGGAGATGGGCAGGCAGATCAGAATGTCCTCAGGGCTCAGAAGTTACCGGGGTGTAAGTGGAGAGGTGTTTATTTCTAGAGAACCTTTGCACTTGAATGCAGCTCTTTGCACAGAGGGTTTGGCCCGAACAGATACCGTCTGCAGGCTTGGCTGCTCAGGCAGGGCTGGGATGACATGGAAAAGCTGCCGTCAGGGGTGGGGTGGGCAGTTCAGGGCAGGAAGGCTGATGGCCTCAGCGATCTGAAAAAAGAAAGTGCCAAATCTAACCCAAGAGACTCTCGGCCACAGGCCACAGCACAGGAAGGGGCGTGGCTCCTGCTAGGCGGCGTGGGCTGTCGTTACTCCAGGGCTGGGGAAGGTTGGGCTGTGCGGGAGGTCTGGATCCTCAGGAGGAGATGGCACTGGGACTCTGAGCACGAGTTTCCATGTTGAAAATCCAAGCATGCTCAGTGTGCTTGTGGGTTGGCCTCCTCGTCCCATGTCTGTTTCCTCCGTCTTCACTGGGGCTGGAAGATGGTCCGTGTGTTTCTGTCAGCGGGGGCAGCGTGGTTGCTGCTTTGTAGAGGCCAGCATGGGCCGCACGAAACGTCCATTTGCCACTTCCCCAGGACGCAGTTTCATTCAAGGCAGAGCCGAGCTACAGAGGCCCTGAGAGCGGGAGGGAGCCGGAGCCGGAGCCTGTGTACAGCATGGAGGCCGCCGACTATCGGGAGGCTGGCAGCCCACAGGGCCTGGCCTACGCCCCAGAGGCCGTCTACGAAAGCACAGTGGCCCCTGGCCACTACCCAGAAGGTAATGGTTGTCCCACATTCCAGTGCTCTTCCTGGGGTGGGGTTTATCCTGAGCTGCCTGTGTGTCCCCTGTGAAGAGTGTCCCATTCATTCACCTGCCCTGCCTCGGCTCGGGCCTCTGTCCCTGGCGGGGTGCTCCAAGAGGGCTTTAAGGTCTTCTATACGCTTTGAAGGTTTTATAGCTATTTCAGGCAGAGAGACACTAAAATCGGTCTTGTTTTATTTTTAAAAATGAGGTTTCATTTCATATATTTAGGCTTAACGTAAGCACTGCGTCCCACTTGGAGTGCTGTGAAAGTGGGTAGCAGAGAGGGTTAGCTGCCTGGCTAGGCAGGTTGACTGCCTGAAGTCTTGTGTCCTCAGGCTCTGAGACCCCCGTCCCCATGGGTGCAGCTGCCCCCACCACCCCTGCCACCTGTGACCACGTCCAGCTGGGCCTGGCCCCTCCCCTGCAGCCTCTGTCCTGGTCCACACAGTCACCATCTCTCACCTGGGAGTCAGTGATTAGCAGGGGACACCAGCTGAAGTCCCGAGGAGGTCCTCGAGCCCATGGAGAGCTGTGGAGGTGGCCAGGGCCAGGGCCTGGCCCCCAGCTGGGCCATGGTCTCATCCCCTTTCTCAGCTCTCACTGCTGTGTCCTCTGCCTGTGCTTTATTCCGCCAGACCCCAGGCGGATGCGGCCATGGCCTCATAGCTTGTCACTTAGTGATAAGAGGCCTTGCACTGTCTGGCCGGCACTGAACTGAGAAGCTGGTCCTTTGGCGAGCAGGCCAGTGACACGTAGTCCCTGGTGGGTAGGAGGGGCAGAGAAGGTGCGTCAGGGCGGGCGGGGCCTTTTACCTTCCTCCTCAGGTGATGAGATTTCTCACCTCACTTTCCATGACAAAGGCCCTCCCTAAGGATGCTGAGTTCTCCTGCTGTAGGAGTTATGTGGCGAGGATGGCTGCAGTACCCACCAGGGCACCATAGTCACTGGAGTTCTGGGAACCTGCCCTGAAAGCTGGAGACCTTTTCCTGTTTCTAGAGGCTGCCTCGGAGTAGAGCTGGCCCACACTGCAGTTTCTTTCCTGACCGGTTCCCCCACCCCTAGTCTTAGCAAGCGTCATCTATAAAAACATTAAGACGGGCGAGTGGACGGGTGGGACTTGAGCTGCGCTCAGGCCGTCTGTCTGCTTGCAGAGGAGAACGCCTACGACGAGTACGAGAACGACCTGGGCATCACGGCCATCGCCCTCTATGACTACCAGGCCGGTGAGCTGCGTGGAGTCGGGGCTGCCGCACACTCCCTGCGCGTCTTCTAGGGACTTCTCTTATGAGAATCGACTTTTGGTGCATTATTACGATTTTTAGAAGTACTTTGTGGGAATAGTCTCAGGATTATTTATGGAAAAGTTGCAAGTGCAGTGCCAAGAGCTCCCCTCTCTCTCCCAGCCTGATTCCGTCCTCTGCACACAACGCACCCCTGTTATCTGTAGTCTTTCCCTGAACCCTCGGAGAGGTGCAGGGCTGCTCCTCCGCCCCTAAAGACCCTGCCTGCACTGCCCGGGACCAAGGCCACCGCCCCACAGGTGCCACGGAGTTGTCTTGTCCCTGCCAGTCCCCTCCTCCTGCCCTTCGAGGCCCTGGCAATTTAGAAGGGTGGCCTCACGTCCCGCGCTGGGCTGTGCGCTAGTGGCAGGAGGGCCAGGGAAGCATATGGTTCTCCCTGGGGCTCACGTTGGCTCCATGGCGTCTGTCTGTCCGTTTGTCCCAGCCCATCTCGTGATTCACAGAGTCGCCCCTGACCCTCCGCGGGGACGAGTGTCTGTGGGTGGCTCAGGATGCACCATCCTGTTGTCCTCCTAGACTGCCGAGGCCACCCTGATGGTGGCCTTCCTGCCACATCCCTCCTCACTCACGCAGCCGACGCCATCCCGGCTGGAGGAGCTTCCCCTGCCGTCTGTATCCCTTTCACATGCGCATTCATTCACGCACTTGTGGGTCCTGGGACATTTCAGCACCTGTGTACTTTATAAAATGCTGTGGCTTCATCCTGCCACCTCCCATCCTGGCCTGTCACCTTTGGCTTCTCTCTAGGTGGCCCCTTTTCGTATTTGTAAGAACCCTTGGTGGTGCGCGGTGGTGCACACCTGTAATCCCAGCACTTTGGGAGGCAGGGGCACCACTGGAGCCCAGGAATTTGAGACCAGCCTAGGTGACATAATGAGACCCTGTCTCTACAAATATATATATATATATAGTCAGCTGGGTGTGGTGGCACATGCCTGTAGTCCTACTTGGGAGGTTGCCATGTGCTGTGATGTAGCCACTGCACTCCAGTATGCGCAACGGAGCAAGACCCTGGCCTCATAAAAAGCCTCTCCAGCTGTCCCTGCGCCCGCGTCACACACACCCAGGCCGTCCTTGGGGGGTAGGACACCCACCTCCTCTCTGCTGCCAGGAAGGGGGCGTGGGCGGGAGCGGAATTGCTGTGGCAGAAACCGCCCCTGAGGAAGTGAGTGCAGGTCGGGGCAGGGATTTCTTAGACTAGCTCTGCTGAATCTTTGTCACCGCCTGGCTCTGTTGCCGGAGCCACGCTTCCGGCCGACCAGGGTGCATGCACGTCAGCGCCTTTCTCTTTGCCCTTTTCCCCCAGCGGGCGACGACGAGATCTCCTTTGACCCCGACGACATCATTACCAACATAGAGATGATCGACGATGGCTGGTGGCGCGGGGTGTGCAAGGGCAGGTACGGGCTCTTCCCGGCCAACTACGTGGAGCTGCGGCAGTAGGCGGCGCCCGCCATCTCACCCTACACATCGGCCTTCCTTGGGCCTCGGGCCTCGGTCCTCGGTCCTCGGTTGATTGTTTTTTGTTTTTGTGGTTCTTTTTCTTTTCTTTTCTTTTGGTTTGTTTTATTTTTGGATGGTGGGGAGGGGAATATACATATTGCTTTTATATTTAATACTTTTGCTGATGCTTTTGAAAATGTTTATGCCACAGAATTTGCTAATATATTGTAATCATGTTCCTTAGGAGGACTTTGGTAATTGTTTTTATGCATTTAAGGTATTTCCTTTTTTGCCAAATTGACTGTCACGTGCAGCCACTTCAGGGGCCTTTAGTTCTCAGTAGCGCGTGTCCTCGTGGGCAGCCGCGATTGCCCAGGACGGACACGAGCTCTTCCAGGTCAGTGTCTGCGGCTGTCAGGCAGGAACGGCTGTCGGGTGAGGGGTCTCTGGGGTCCCTGTGTCTGGAGGAAGGGGCAGGGGCTGTGGGAGTTAGACTGGAGGTGCCCCGCCAGGGAGGAGAGGTAACCCTGCACATGTCATGCTGTGACAGCCCAGGGACCCCACCACTCTCCCGTTGCGGTGGCTCGGCTGGTCCTTGTCTCCACCCCACCCACCACCCGAGGCCCCAGTGGGGCTGCCGTGGGGCCTGTGCCCTGCCTCGCAGTGGCTCTGAGTCTTCACACACCCCTCCCTTGGCCACCTCCAGACCATGGCCCACAGCGACAGGCTCTGGGGCCTTACTGGTGAGGTTGCAGCTCGTGCTGGGCTTGACTTGCTGGCACGAGGCTCATATCTGGACTGTCACTTGAACAGTCTCTGGGCAGCCTGGGATGGCGTGTGTCCGTTGTGTGGCAAACTAGCCACACAGCTGTGGGAAGGCAGGTGCCTTCTGTGTTGTAAACTGCCAGAAACATCCTTCCCATCGAGGGGGTTGTGCTGTTTTTGCCAAAATATGTTCAATTACTGTAAAAGTTGATCAATTGACAGCTAAAAATAAGTGCAAATGAGTGAGTGTTCCTACCCAGGGTGCCCCGTGGCAGTTCTGACACTGCTGTGCCTGGGCACTGAGGCCACTTGCTGCCGGGGAAACGCATCTCCCTCCCAAGAAATCAGGGGCTGGACCAATCTGATCATGCACAGTCTGGTGGACAGTGTGTCTTTCCAAAAGATCATGTAGAAATGTCTCAGGTATTCGGGACATTTAGTGATTGTAATGCACGTGTTTTCTTCCCTGAAGTGCATTTCTGCATAATCCTTGCTTTACCACAATTAGGTCAGGTTTTATATGCAACTTATTGTATCTGAATTCCTGTAGCACACCTCATAGATATGATTTTTTTAAATTAAATACTCAGAATAAACTTTTTTTTGATCCACTTGCTTGGTTTGCTTTGGTCTTTGGTTACTCTGTTCTGCAGCTGAAGATGGCGCATGGGGGCCGCGCTCTCCCGGCCCCGAGGGGCAGACCCTCCTGTCATGCGTGCCACCCGCATTCTGCTTTACTTCTAGACAGCTGCAGACTCCTTTGAAAGAGGCATCTCATTAAAATGCACGTTTTGTAAGGTAAAATGTATTTACTCTCTGATCATTAATATTTTGGACAAAAATTCCAAGCAGAATAGGAAATTAGGTGCTTAAAAATCATTTCTGAAGTACAGTTCTCACCGTAAATCCCGGGCTAGCTGTGATGTAGCTGAATGTCTTATTTTCCTTAGAGGCACAGCAAGTTAAAGTCTGGGGGGACGGTGGCACTGAGCAGAGAGCTGGCGGGCTCGGGACCTCACACCTGGACGGGGAAGTGGCGGGAAGGCCAACTTCCATAACACAGGCCAGGTCTTTGGAGCCCCCGAGATGGGGCAGAGGGGCCTCGTGCTTCCGCCACCTGGCTGGACTCAGCTCCGTGGTACCCATGGCGATATGTGCGCCTTTCATGGGCAGCTCCCAGACAGTGTGGTAGAACAATTTGAAACTTCAGGAAGAATTCCTCTCACCATCCCTGAAAGAAATGGGGGAGCGAAGCAAATCACAGACACGGCAAACTAGTGCATGTTTCCCAGTTATGGGAAGGGGTGTCGCCCATGGCCGCCATAAGGTGATGGTAGGGCAGGCCTAAAACCCCAGGTCCCAGCTTTGGCCACTTCCCTTCCTAAGCCTTGTCAGGTCCCCTTGACACCCTGCTGCCCTGTGTCCTGCTGGTCCTCTCTGGCACCCAGGACCATGTGCTGGTGGCCCCCTTCTCCCTGTCCTCTGGGGTCCCTACAGCCCTCCAGGTGAGCCAGGTGCCAGAGCAGCCTCCAGCCCCCTGAGCAGCCTGGCTTTGGCCCATGCCAGGGGAGCGTCCCAGACCTTCCACTCAGCCCTCTCTCTCTGGGGACCAGAGTGGTGTTGACCTTTTGTTTTCAAGCTGAAACTGTAGGACTGTCTGTAATCCCAGGGGTATGGTGGTGTTTTTCTTACAAATCAGGGATTAGTGAATTGTCACTGGCTCTCCTATTCCACCCCCAGGTCTGCTCCCCACACATCCCTACCTGCCCTGATCTGGAGGGAGGTGACAGGTGGCTTCCATGGGGCACCTGGATATGCCTGCAGGGGCTGGGAACAGGGCTCTGGAGAGCCTGGTTCCGGCTCACACCCGCTGCCTGTCGGGCCTTCCCACCAGCCTTCAGTTGTGCTGACACACCTCCTGGCCCCCTTTGCAGCCTGGGTGGTGACAGACTGCCCCCAGTGTTCCCGGGCACTGCATCCTCCCTTTAGCCGTCATTGCCTTCAGCTTTTCAAACGCCCCCTTGCCAGCTCTGCTCACGTGATCCAAACCCAGTAAGGCCCTGATCTCCCATGACATTGCAGGCACAGGTCCTGTACTTGGGGCTTGGGGGCCCAGCAAGGAGGCCGAACCACACGTGGTTACAGAGGGTGGAAGGACCTGTCTGCTGGGTGAGAGGCTGCAGCCACCTGCAGGGAGGCCAGTCCTGAAAGACGGGCAAGGAGGTTTCTGCACAAGGGGAAGGGTGGGTGGAGGTGGATAGGGTCGAGGAGCCAGGATGCAGGGTCCAACAAAGGGATGGTGTTGTGCAGAAAGTTTCCCCACTGACCCACTGTTTGCCCAGTGTAGGACTACAGAGGGATGGGCACGGTGGGGCTCAGCAGGAATCAGATGTCTTGGGTCTGTGTTCCTGTTGTCTTGGTGACCAAGCACGGTCTGGCAGCCTGTGCACCTGTAGTCACCCACCTTAACCTAGCTGCTTTCTTTTAGCTGTGGCTGTTTTAAAATCAACCAACCAACACTTCTGTTTCAAGGTCAGATTCAGACCCAGGGCCCCTCTGGTCTGAGGGACAACCCAGCTGCCGGCTCACTGGGCAGCAGTTTGCCTTCAGACCCCTGGAACGTGGAGGTCAGAGGGTGGACGTGCTTTTCTCTATGGATCCGAGACGTGGAGAATGATATCGGGGCACACAAGAAGCAGTGGTCGCCAAGGAGCATTGCGTTGCTGCGGCCACTTTGGGCAGCTCAGAAGCGTGCACAGAATGAAGAGGGCTTCCTGCCTGGAGGATCTGCTTGCGAGTGCTTCAGCCCAAGACGTCCAGAGAGGTGCCCACGTGGTTTTAACTGAGCACACGTATAGGTGCTGGGCCCTGGAGGTGAAATGTGGAATGAGGGAGGTGGAATGGGGGAGGCGACATAGGAAATACGTCATTCCACCGTTGTGTCTACTTCTGACCAAGGAGAAGAGAAAGTTCTGAAAGGAGAGCAGGGAGACCTGAGAATATGGCCAGGGTCGGCCAGGGAACTCTGCTCGGAGGAGAGGTCTCTCCCGGTTGCCTCCCCACCCTGCAGATGCGCTGCGGAGGGCGGGCACTGTCTGTGATGCCTGCTGTGCCTTGCCCATCTTCAGCTTCACCTCCTCTGCAAATGATGAAATAACCCTCTTTCTAGTTGGATGCTTGCAGGAGTCATTCTACCTACTTGCATTTGAAATTTATTGCCAGGATACACCTTAAAAATTTCATGGACCAAGTCAAGTGTATATTAGCAATATACTTAAGTAATTTATACTTATTTTGCCTGAAACTTTAGGATTCCTTCATCTTTTGATCTCAGTGCTGGTTTTTTTTGTTTGTTTTGCTTTTTTTTTTTTGAGACAGAGTCTCACTCTGTTGCCCTGGCTAGAGTGCCGTGGCATCAGCCTTGCTCACAGCAACCTCAAATTCCTGGGCTCAAGCAATCCAACTGCTTCAGCCTCCCGAGTAGTTGGACTACAGGCATGCGCCACCATGCCTGGCTAATTTTTTCTATATATATCTTTAGTTGGCCAATTAATTTCTTTCTATTTATAGTAGAGACAGGGTCTCGCTCTTGCTCAGGCTGGTTTCGAACTCCTGACCTTGAGCAGTCCGCCCACCTCGGCCTCCCAGAGTGCTAGGATTACAGGCGTGAGCCACCGCAGCTGGCCGTGATTAACAGAATTCTTTATCCTAGCTTAAAACATTCCAGGCCTTTAGACAAAGCTTTATATCTTTAACCACTTCGGGACCGCACTCAGCGGCCTTGAAACCTTACCCACAGCCGGACTCACAGTCCGCACGGTAGTCTGTGCTGTGCATTGACAACGAATCCATTTTGCTCTTGTGTGATGAGGAAAGCTTTAAAGCACTGAAAGCTTGTTTTACTTTACAGGCAGCTTTACTTGTAATGTAAATTAGAATAGGTAACATATACATATGTGTTTTCATTACGTTATTTTTATTTGTTTTTGTTTTTGTTTTTTTTGGTTTTTTTTTTGAGACAGAGTCTCGCTTTGTTGCCCAGGCTAGAGTGAGTGCCGTGGTGTCAGCCTAGCTCACGGCAACCTCCAACTCCTGGGCTCAAGCAATCCTGCTGCCTCAGCCTCCCGAGTAGCTGGGACTACAGGCATGCGCCACCACGCCCGGCTACATTATGTTATTTTTAAATGTTCACAATTTTATTTTGATAAATGAAAAATTAGAAAAGTCATATCACGGCTGTCGGCTAAAGTCGCTGTGAACCTTCATCTGGCTGTCGACTATAGCCGACGCTGGGCTGTGCGCGTTCATCTCTGGCTATCGACTACAGTCAACGCTGGTACCAAAGTGGTTAACCAATTACAAATCAAAGAATCTTTGAACCCTCCTATAACCTATAACCCCCAATTTGAGACGTCCTGCCTTTTCAGGCCAAACTGTGTACACCTTCCATGTGTTAACTGATGACTTTACCTGTAATTCCTGTCATTCTAAAATGTATAAAACCAAATTGCAACCCAGCCACCTTGGGACCACTTGATCGCGGCTTCTTGGATACGGCTCTCCAGCCCATGGTCACACACATTGGCTCAGAATAAACCTCTTTAAATTATGTTAAAGAGTTCAGGCTTTTTTCCCGTTAACATTTTCGGGTATCTTTATAGCAAGACCCCAGTCTTTGATACCAATTTTCTGGCCTAGTCTGTGTTGCTGTAAAGGAGTATCTGAGGCTGGGTAATGTTTTTTAAAAAGAGATTTATGTGGCTCACGGTTCTGCAGGCTGTACGAGAGGCATGACGCCTGCATCTCCTCCTGGGGAGGGCAGCAGGCTGCTCACGGCAGAGGTGAGGGAGGGCTGGCGTGTGCGGATCGCATGGCGAGAGAGGAGGTGCGTGAGGCTGTGCCAGGGTCTTGTTCACAACCAGCCCTGGCAGGAACTGATAGAGCAAGAACTCACGCCTTACCTTGAGGACAGCACCAGGCTCTTCATGAGGGTCCTGCCTCCACGACACAAACACCTCCCACGGGGCCCCGCCTCCAGTACTGGGGATCAAATTTCAACATGAGATTTGGAGGAGACAAACCAACCATGCTCAAACTGTAGCAGAAGACGAGAAAGTTCTGGGATTGGCTGCACAACAATCTGAGTGTACTTAATGCCACTGAGCTGTTCACTTAATAATGGTCAAAATGGTAAATGTTATGCTTTGTATATTTTACCACAGTTAATTTTTTTGAGACAGCCTCACTCTCTTACCCTTGGTAGAGTGTAGTGGTGTCATCATAGCTCGCTGCAACCTCAAACTCCTGGGCTCAAGTGATCCTCTTGCCTCAGCCTCTTGAGTAGCTGGGACTACAAGTACACATCACCACACCCAGCTAATTTTTCTATTTTTAGTAGAGATGGGGTCTCACTCTTGCTCAGGCTGGTCTTGAATTCCTGAGCTCAAGCAATCCTCCTGCCTTGGCCTCCCAGAGTGCTACGATTACAGGCGTGAGGTACCCGTCCTGGCCTAGGGAGATTGCTTTCAATTATCTGAATGAGCCCACTGTAATTGCAAGGGTCCTTACAAGTGGGAGAGCAAGGTAGAAGAGGTCAGAGTGACTTGACTCACCTTTGCTGGCTTAGAATGCCAGCATTTCCCAGAAACCACTTCTCTGTCACTCGGTGGTTTCTGACCTGCAGACAAAGGTCTGAGTTCCTTTTCTATGGGATTTAAATGGTTTTCTGACCCAGGCCTGCCCAGCCGTGCTGTCCTATGGGCAGAATGATGGCCCCAAAGATGGTCACATCCCAGTCCTCAGAGGCTGTGAGTGTGCCACCCTACGTGGCTGAGGGGAATTAGGTCATGGAGGGAATTAGGTTGATATCTGCTGACTTTAAGATGGGGAGAGGCTGGGTGCAATGGCTCACACCTGTAATGCCAACACTTTGGGAGGCCAAGGTTGGGAGTTCGAGACCAGCCTGGGCAACATAGGGAGACTCTGTATTTACAATAAATAAAAATTAGCTGGGCATGGTGGTGCACACTCCTAGTTCCAGCTACTGGGGAGGCTGAGGCAGGAGGATCACTTGAGCCCAAGAGTTGGAGGCTGCAGTGATCTATGATGAGGTCACTGCACTCCAGCCTGGGTAACAGAGCAAGACCTTGTTTCAAAAAAAAGGAGGGGGGACAGGGAGATTATCCTGGATTACCTGGGTGGGCTCAGCGTGATCCCAGGTCCTTGGGTGTAGAGAAGGGAGGCGGAGGTCAAGGTCAGGGGGATGTGACGTGACACGAGGAAGGCCTCACCCTCCTCCTCAGCTCTGGAGGTGGAGGGAGGGCCCGGGATCCAAGGGACGCAGCGGCTCTAGACGCCGGAGCAGGAAGTGGCTTCTCCCTGGAGCCCCCAGCAAGAAGCAGCTCTGCAGGCGCCCTGGTTTTAGCCCAGCTAGACGGGTGTCGCCACAGAGCTGCAGGGCGGTGCATTTGTGGGGTGCAGGCCCCTGAGCCCAGTCCCCGACAGCGCCAGGTCAGCGTGGTGTGGGCGTCTGCCTGTGTGTTTTCACAGCGGGGTCCTTATTTTCTCCGCCTCCCCTGCAGGGTCGGTGCTGGGCGCCCAGAAGGCGCTCGCTGAGCGACCTGTGGCTGAGTCAGTGAAGGACCGCGTGGCCAAGCCAGGTGGTGGCATTAGTGTGACACGTGTCTCTTTTAAAATCAGAGTTCTGTGCCTCTTGGTTGAGTGACTCTGGGAGCCTAGGTCCAGACCTCCGTCCCCCTTGGGGTGGGCCAGAGTGCCATCTGCTCACAAGAGCAGAGAACCGTGAACAGGGTTTGGTTTCAGGAAAGATGACCAAGGGACTCAGCCCAGGAGTCAGCCTGGGTTCAGACTCTCGCCCCAGCCTTCCTGATTCAGTCCTGGGGCCTGTCATGTTTGGGTGGACATCAACAGCTGCCTCCACGGGACGCCTGCCTTCTGCAGGTGGGCGCGTGCGTTAGCGGCGTAAACAAATCTTCGCCGGTAGATTGAGATGGAGTCACGTATCTTTAATGATAAATGAGAGCAGCGGCTGTGCATTTGTTTAGGAACAATGTGTATTGCTCTGTGAGCTATTAGTTTCCTGTCTTTCCGCCATTTTTCTATTTGTCTTTTTACTTTGTTTATGGTGGGATATTTTTTCCTACAGAATTTTAGAATTTTGATGTGGTTTAATCTATCTTTCTCTTTCTGGTTTCCTGGGAATGGCCTTCCCTATTTGGAGATTTTTTAAAAAGTCCACCTGTCTCTCCTTCTTACATTGTACTTTGTTTTCATTTGTCTGGGATTTATTTTGAGACAAACTGGTCTCAAACCGTCTCTCTCGGCACTATTTGCTGGACATCCGCCTTCTCGCTGTTGATTGGAAATGTCACCTTCGTCATATACTAAATTTCTATGCATATTTGTGTCTGTCCCTGGGCATTCTATTTTGTTCCATTAATCAATCTGTCCGGTCATGCACCAGTCCTGTGCATATTTAATTATTGTGTTTTTCTTTTTTAAGCATGAAATGAAGTTTATTGAGGAAGGACAAGACAGGTTTGCCTCAGGAAGACAAAAGGAGACGCAGAAGGTCCCTGACTATGGTCTGGGGTCCTGTTGTATACTCTCTGGATTGGGCCCTCCTCGTGGTTCAGACATCACTGTCACCGTGGAACCACTTGGATGGACAGTTAACGACGTGATAATTAGCGTTAGGTTACTCCAGGTCACTTTCCAAATGCTGTTGTGCCGGGGCTGCAGGCTGGGGTTCCGTGCGTTCTGCAGATTAGCAGGGGCGTCTCCTTCTTCCCAGGCGGGGCCGCTGCTGGGCAGCATTAAGGGGGGGCGGCACGAAGACGGGTGCTGCCCTGTCCTTCCCAGGTGGGGCAATTGCTCGAGGCAGCACCAAGGCAAGGCACCCACTTTTGTTCCTAGGAGAGACTCGGAGGTCCCTTGCTGTCTACCTAACACTGCACACTTTATTCTAGAGGCCCAAATCACCAGGTAGGGCCTTGGCCCATCTGGCTGCTTCCTGCTGCGTGGGGGTGGTGATTCTTACCAGGGTGGCTTCATGCAGGTTCTCTGGGGGTCTCTCCAGGGGACCTCGGTATATGTTCTTGGTAGGTTGTTGTAGTTGTAGGTGTGATGAGGAGATAGGTGCTGAGGCTGGCAGAGAATTTAGGACCATTTGATGGCCTCTAGGCGGGAGGAAAGAAATTTAGTTAGAAAATTTATGACGGTCAGACCCAATATTAGAATTCCCAGGATGCAAAGTAATGGGGTGATCAAGGGAATTACCAGGGACATCTACGAGGGCCTAGAGGTCGGCCTCGCACCTGGAGATTGGAGATGGACTCTGGGACGGCACCAAGGTTGTCCTGAACCTGTCCTGACTTGTTAACAGAAAAGGGTGGACGGCCGTCTCCGCAGGGTTGGTTGAGCCTTAGGGCATGTGCAGTCTGGTTTGCCAGGGGGAAGGTGTCCCGCCCACAGGTAGACAGTGTGTGCCACTCACCTGCAGGAGCCACGGCAGGAGGAGTCCGCTGGAACAGGTGCGGGAGATCCTCCAAGGGAGTCGCGAGCATTTGCCCTGTGCGGGCGTGCTCCTCTGTGGGGCCGGGGGCGTCTCACTGTGGTCCTTCCACGGCTTCATTCAGGAACGATGCGTCCAAGCAGGTATCCCTGCGCCTCGGTGGCCTGTCCTACGTGGGGCGGTCTGTGGCCCAATGCCCTTCCTGTGGGCAGAGGTGGCACCAGAGTTCCCTTCCTTTGGTGGAGGCTTTGGCGGTTGGTCCGAACGTGGTGTCAACGCTGCCATCACCTGGGCCTGCCCAGCCTCCGTCCTCCGCTCCGTCTCCCGCGCCTGGGACTGGAGCTCTGAGTCCTGTCACAGAAGCAGAATCGGCGCAGCCACCTCGTGGTCCAGGGAGGTGGCAGGTCCTGCACACGCTTCTGGAGTTTTTCCTAGTATCTGGCGCTGCTTGGGCCAGGAATTTGTCTTTTAATGCCTCGTGGGAGTTGGGATGGAGAGTGGCATCTCTCTGTCGCCTCCCGGAGCTGATCCAGGATGGCCGGGGGCTTTCCCCGGCCCCTGGGCGGTGGCGGAGACCTTGGAATAACTGACCGCCTGTCGCTGGCGGCCCAGAGGGCAGCCTGGACGCACGCTGGAAAGTGCCGTCTCTCCCGCCTCTCTTCCGAGGACCTATCATCTCACCCGGGTCGGCCACAGACACCGCTGTTGCACCCACTGGCCATCTAGGATCTGAAAGGGGCAATCTGGTGGCAAATGTCTGTGCTTCTGTTAACGCCCAGATCCTTCCTGTTTTATTTAACTCTACTGATCTAAAGGGCTTAGGGACCAGGGTCGGTCTGAACTCCCCCTGCTGCTTCCACCAAGGGTAGGAGCCTCTCCCAGGTGAGGGTAGAGACGGCGCCGGCTCCCCTTGGTCGGCCCCAGGCCTCGCTGGGTAGGCGGGAGCCTGAGGATCTCTTAACGGCTGGGCTCTGACACCCCCTGCACCACCGAATCCTCAGAAGCAAAAGAAAGCTGTACAGGCCGGGCGCGGTGGCTCACGCCTGTAATCCTAGCTCTCTGGGAGGCCGAGACGGGAGGATCGCTCAAGGTCAGGAGTTCAGAACCAGCCTGGGCAAGAGCGAGACCCCGTCTCTACTAAAAATAGAAAGAAATTAATTGGCCAACTAATATATATAGAAAAAATTAGCCGGGCACGGTGGCGCATGCCTGTAGTCCCAGCTACTTGGGAGGCTGAGGCAGGAGGATCGCTTGAGCCCAGGAGTTTGAGGTTGCCGTGAGCTAGGCTGACGCCACGGCACTTTAGCCTGGGCAACAGAGCCAGACTCTGTCTCAAAAAAAATAGAAAGCTGTACATACGGTGTTTTGGCCCATTTTCCTTCCCTTTTGCAGAAGAGGTGCAATGGTAAGCAGTGGGGCGATTGAGAGTCCCTGTGGCGGCCGCTGTCTCCGCGGGGCAGCGCGTCGGGGCCAGGCGCTGTGCAGCAGAAGGTTAAACGTTTCTTTTTCCAAGCGTCTGGCACCGGCCACCGGGTGTCCGGCCACGAAGGGAAGGCGCTTCCCGGGACAGAGCGGAAGCAGCAGCCTGGAGGCCAAGGAGAAACGCCTGATAAAAGCGAGGAGGAAACATGGTTTAGCCTTAACGCGGGGAGGGTAAGCACCCCGTCACGTCGGCAAGACAAGGACACCGTCAGAGCCAACGCGAAGCCCGGACGCGCTAGCGAGGTACAGCGCACAGCCCGCGTCCCTAGAGAGAAAGAAGCAAGATGAAAGCCAGCGTCTCCCCTCCCGCCAGGGACGTGTCCCCGAACTCCCCATCACACACGGGGCAGCCTTGAGGTCTGAGAAGGGTGGGGAAGCGTGAGCGGGGACGGCGCCCCCAGCGCTGGCTGCAAGGCGGTGAGCTGCAGAAAGGTGAGCTGCCTGCCTGGACTGCGATCCGAGCGTGCCGGCGCAGCCCTGTCTGTCCTCTTCTCTGTTCTTGGTGTGCTCTTGGCCAAGGAGCGACCAGACACAGCACAAGCCAGGCCAGTGTGAATCGAAGCTCACCGGGGAAGGACAAGCCAGGCTTCCAGAGCCAGAGCCAGACGCGTTCGCCACAGAAAGGCGCACGGGCCCCCTGTTGCACCAAAAGGGCCTGTTGCGCAGTTTTTTAAAGATACAATTTACATGCGATAAAATAAACTCACTTTAGTTATTACTACTTTTTCTCCTTTTCTTTTTAATACAGAGAATCAGGAGGCCCCCCAAACCAGAATAGATTCAGAGGGACTCTGTGTTTGTTACTGTTTTTGCATTGTCAACGGAAAAAAGCCAAACTCTGCAAATTAATATTAAAGAGATTTATTCTGAGCCAAATTTGAGGACCATGACCCGGAGCCACTGCCAAGAGTGGGCAAGTGGACTCGTTGGGGCTAGGTTACAGTTTGGTTTTTATACATTTTAGAGATGAGGGTTCCGGGTGAAGCCAGCAATCAATACGTGGGAGGCATACATGGGTTTGGCTCAAAGAGGAGGGCCATGGGGGGAGGGGGCTTACAGGTTATAGGTGGGTTTAAAGATTCTTTAGATTGGGATTGGCTAAAGACATGAAGCTTTGTCTAAAGACTTGGAAGTTAGGCCGGGCGCAGTGGCTCACGCCTGTAATCCTAGCACTTTGGGAGGCCGAGGCGGGCGGATTGCTCAAGGTCAGGAGTTTGAAACCAGCCTGAGCGAGACCCCGTCTCTACCAAAAATAGAAAGATATTAATTGACCAACTAAAAATATATATACAAAAAATTAGCCGGGCATGGTGGCGCATGCCTGTAGTCCCAGCTACTCGGGAGGCTGAGGCAGGAGGATTGCTTGAGCCCAGGAGTTTGAGGTTGCTGTGAGCGAGGCTGACGCCACGGCACTCACTCTAGCCTGGGCAACAAAGCGAGACTCTGTCTCAAAAAAAAAAAAAAAAAAAAAAGACTTGGAAGTTTTAACATAAACTGTTTACCAGAGATAAGCCACCATTTGTTGCTTAACTTGAGGACCTGCAGGTCTGTCTCGCATGCCCTTAGGCCTGTTAATGGGTTACAAAGGAAGTCTCCAAGAAGGGAGGGGGGCATGGTAAGGCATGTCTGACCTCCCTCCTCCTGGCAGGCAACTTTGCCCTAGAATATTCCTTTGGCCACGAGGGGGTCCATTCAGTCCGCAGGTGGCGGAGAGGGGTGAGCATTTTAGTTCACAACATTAACATATTTAATATTATGAGAACAATAGGAATTCATTTCAAAAGCAATTCAGACAGTACAGCGATGTCTGCTGTGAAAAGTAAAACCCTCTCCCTCTCTTTTCTCTGTCTCCCTCCCTAGAGGCAACTTTGTCAACAATTTATGGAATGATTTTACAGAAATCTTCTCTGTGTGTATGAATGCAAATGTATAATGTGCAAATCGTTTTTTATATATACTAGGGGACCATACTGTACTTCACCTTGTGCAACGTGGTTTTTCAACATGATATATACGTTGTCCATCTTTCTCTGCCTCATTTTTTTTGCACCCTCTAATAGAATTTCATGTGTGTGAGAGTTCAGTCAGCCCCATCGATAGGTATTTATTGGCTCTCCCTGCTTTTCTGCTATCACAGCGCTGTCCTGTGCCTTATGGCACACTCGTGAGTCTTTGTCTGCAGGGTGAATATTCAGAGATGGGATTGCCCAGTGGGACAGACTACTGGTCCCCAGTGTCAATGGAAAAAATGCAAACTCTGTAAAATAATTTTAAAGAGATTTCTTCTGAGCCAAATTTGAGGACCATGACCCAGAGCCACTCCCAGGGTCACAGTTTAGTTTTATATTTGGTTTATTTCAGGGATACAGGGGTTACTGGTAAAGTCATAAATCTGTATGTGGGAGGCATACATTGGTTTGACCTGAAAAGGTGGGCCATCTCCAAGCTGGGGGGCTTACAGGTTATAGGTGGGTTTAAAGATTCTTTGGCTTGTAACTGGTTAAAGACATGAAGCTTTGTCTAAAGGCTTGGAATGTTTCAACATAAGGAGCTGTTATCAGAGATAAGCCAGGGGACATAGATTTGTTGGGTAAATTGAGGACCTGCAGGTTTGTCTTACATACCTTTAGGTCTGTTAATGGGTCATAAAGGATGTCCCCAAGAAGGGAGGGGAGGCATGCTGAGGCATGTCTGACCTCTTTCCTCCTGGCAGGCAATTTAGTTTTAGGATATTCCTTTGGCCATGAGGGGATCCATTTAGTCAGCGGTGGGGGGTGAGCCTTAAAATTTTATTTTAGTTCACATCAGTATCCCTTCCCTGCTTCCTTCCTAAGACCCTGCTTTTCTTCAGAGTTGCAACTAGTTGAAAGACTGTATTTTTCTATCACTTGTTATCAGATGTGGCTATGTGACTGACTATTCTGGAAGCCAAACGTAGTTGTTAAGGATTTCTGAGAATGGCCCTTAAAAGGAAGACAGACAGCTCAAGTATCCTTTGACCTTGCCAGTCTTCCCATTCCTCCTTTTTGTTGTCTGGAATGTGAGTGTGATGGCTGGAGCCCTAGCAGCCATTTTAGACAATGAGGTATCTTCTGAGGATGATAGAGCAAAAAGATAGGGCCTGGGTTCATGATGATGTCATGGAACAACTACAGTTGTCTTGCCTGCTTTAGGATTTTTTTTAATGAATCAGAGAAATAAACTTTTATTCTAGCTGAAACATTGTTATTTTCAGTCTATGCTGTGAGTGCAAAAACAATTCCCAATTGATTCACTGGGTCAATGAATATAAAATTTCCCTCTCAGATGGCTTGCATTAGCTTATACACAAGGGCATGTTTCTTTTTACTTTTGCTAACTTCAAGGATTATAAAAAAATTTAAATCTCTGCTAATCTAAGAGGTGAAAATGTATATTATTTTTGTTGCTTATGTTTAATTTTACTTAATGGCCCCTTCTTTCATTCCTCCTTTCTCTCTTTTTTATTTTCTGTTGCTTCCTTTCTTACAAATGCACGAGTTACTCATTAAAGGCTCTTGGTAAAATTCAAACAGGGACTTTCAATTCTTGAAGTATTTGGAGCTAGACATTATGAAAACCCTTTTGCCATAAAACACTAAAAATTATAGATAAATTGTAATAAACATCTATTAAATGTAGAGTTGAGGCCAGGTGTGGTGGCTAATGCCTGTAATCCCAGCACTTTGGGAGGCTGAGTTGGGAGGATTGCTTGAGCCAGGAGTTCAAGACCTGCCTATCCAACATACCAGGATCTCATCTGTGCAAAAAATAAGAAAAATTAGCCGGGCATGGTGGTGCATGCCTGTAGTCCCAGCTACTCAGGAGGCTGAGGCAGGAGGATCGCTTGAGTCCAGGAGTTTGCGGTTGCAGTGAGCTATGATGATGTCACTGTACTCTAGCTGGGGCGACAGAGTGAGACCCTGTCTGAATGAATGCATGCATACGCGCAGAGTTGAGCTTGCAAGAAGGTCAGGAAATTTTAAGCGCAGAAGTGATCCAATCTGTATGTGATCTTCAGGGGACAAAACAAGGGAGGAAAGGAGGACTCGGAATGGAAAGCCAGCCCTGAAGTCTTGATGGCCAAGGGATCATCAACTTGTCAGTGCTTGGGACTTAGAGCCGTGGGGTCGGGGTCCGACAGACACACGGGGCAGGAGGTAATGTTTTTGGCCCTGCAGGCCATGCAGTTGGAAGAAGGAACCTACGTAGGGCTGGGTGAAAGGGTGGGAGAGTAAAAATATGCCCATTGCCTAAGGGAGACAATGACATAATTTGTCTGCCTAGTCCTCAGGTCTGAATAGGGAAAAAGAGATCGTGTGATATTTGAACAAGATTTTGCTCAAAGGAGATTGATGACCGAGGAAAGGAAATGGGAAGGCCGTGCAGGACCAGCATCACCTAACAGGTGGCTAGAACTGAGAAGGGCAAGACAGGGTCAGTGAGACAGTTCCCCAAACTAGCCACTAGATGGCGCCATTAACTCAGGACAGCTTGGTTGCCCTCTTTTATTGTGCAAACTATGCATTTCCCGCTTTCTTCCCGCCTCTTTGCTTAAGAATGGGTGATGCAAGGACAAAAGAGACAGTCTCAGTAAATACGTAGAGACAGAAAGCAGACTACTGGTTTTCAGAGGCTGGGAGAACAGGGGAGTGGGAGAGGACTGCTAATGGGCTCAGGATTTCCTTTTGGGGGTGATGAAAATACTCTGGAACTAGGTAGAGGCGGTGGTTGCACACAATGTAAGTGTACTAAATGCCACTGAATTGTGCATTTAAAATGGTTCATTGTTGAAACCAGATAGAGAGGGAGAGAGAGACCCAGTCCTGCAGTGTGCGGACATGAGGACAAGCAGGCCATCGTGATACCACACAGAAGGCACGGAGGCCACAGGCACTGGGGGGAGTCAGGGAAAGATGCTGGGATGAGGTGAGGTGCGAGCTGAGTCTGGAAGAACAAGTTCCAGCAAACCAGGAGAAGCAGGGTGTTCTGCGTAGCAGGAGAGGAAGGGGCCGAGACTCAGCTCAACGTGTGTGAATGAGTGTTTTGATGTTGCTGAAATATCAGGTGCATGCAGAGAATAGAGACACAGGCAAGGGCAGGTCAGAAAGGACTTTATAGGACGTAGGAAGAAGGTTGGATTTCATTTTAAATGCGGTGCGGAGTTCTTGAAGAATTTCAAGCACAGAAGTGATCCAATCTGTATTTTGCAAGGCTCGTTCAGGCAGCAATGTGGAAGATTTGGATGGCCCAAAACTGGTGGCAGAGAGTCCTGCTTGGAGGGTGGCCTCTGCAGGAAGCACGAGGATATTGTGCCGGCAACACGGGGACCACATCTTAGTTCCAGGAGTAGATCGCGCGTTTGCCACGGCATTCGTTCGTATGGCTGTACGATTTTTCTGGTGTAACTGGGACTCAGGACGAGCAAGGTGAGCATGTGGAGGGTGGAGTGTGCACGTGGCCTTTTTGGCCTTGCAGCTGTTAAGTCTGGGTCTGCATGTTAAGTGAATAACCAGGGCAGGTGCTGTGGTGAGACCTTAAAAATGGACATATGCGCCATCTAAACAAGGGGCAGCCAGGCTGGGTCTGCCAGTGTCCCCCGGGCCGTGTGGGCCAGCTGTAAGAGCATCTGTGTTGAAATCACTGCTCTTTTCCTGTAAGCATGCCAGGAGCCCCAGGCTGGCACACTGTGGAGGAGACTTAACTTCCCAACTTAGAAAACGGCTGACAAAGTCGCAACCAAACCGGCTGAGGCAAACAAAGGAGGGAATCTACTGGCTTATGTGTCTTGAAGCCAGAGGTAGATTCTTGCTTCAGGTAGGGTTGGATCCAGGATCTCTCCTGTGTTCTCAGGCTTTGGTCTCTCTGTCCCATGGGCCTGTTTTGTCCTATGTTGCTTCATTCCAGAGCAGACGGTCCCCAGGAAGGGACAGGCATTCTGTAGCGGTACAGCTCGCATCCGCACGGCAGGCACGTGCGGGGTGGCTTCAGCAAGGGGGCTTCTCTGACCCAGTTGTTCAAGTGCAGATCTTGGGATCTGGGCTCACTGATTCGACTGCTCACGTACCCATTCCTGAACCCATCGCTGTAGTTGAGGGTGGAGGACACTGACTGGCCAGGCTTGGCCACTTGGGCCACCCACCCCTAGCAGAGGGGCCTGAGCATGGGGGCGGGCACCCACAGCCCGAGGGGACATGTGTGGCAGGCAGAGACCGGGGGTCCTCTCCGCTTGCCTTGGGCTATTTGGTTAGATTTTCATACTCTTCAGGAGTTGCTTAGCACGCCAGCTGTGGCCATCGGGCTTTCCCCCGTGTGCGCAGGGATGTGGAAATGGTCAGAACTTTGTGACTGGGACCAACATCAAGTCCAATCCCACACACTCACCAACCGAAAAATGTTTTTATATTTTTATTTTTTTGAGGCAGAGTCTCGCTCTGTTGCCTGGGCTAGAGTGCCATGGTGTCATAATAACTCTGAGCAACCTCAAACTCCTGGCCTCAAGTGATCCTCCTGCCTCAGCCTCCCGAGTAGCTGGACTACAAGGATGCGCCACCACGCCCGGCTAACTTTTCTTATTTATTTATTTTACCTCAATGAAAGTTCAAAGCATTCTTATTTTTTTTTTTTTTTGTACAGACAGGGTCTTACTATATTGCCCAAGCTGATCTTGAACGCCCGAGCTCAAGCAATCCTCTTGCCTCGGCCTCCCAGAGTGCTAGGATTATAGGCACCAGCCGCCTCTCCTGGCCCCTAAAAATGTGTTTTTTTTTTTTTTTTTTTAGCAATATAAACAGTAATGTGGGTTTTTTCTTTTCTTTTCTTTTTTTGCTTTCAGTAAATGAAATATGAAACTCCCCCTTTTCTCTCTGGAGTACCCACAGTAAATGGCAATAACCCCCGAAACGGGAAGGACGGCATTCCGAAAGCCTAGTTTCACGGGCGACATCCATCTCCGAGGACTTCGGCGCCAGCACGTCCCGCGGGAACTCGCACACGGATTCCGGGCTGAGAACTGCCGCGCCCTCCAGCTCGCCGTCCCGGCAGCGTCTCTGCCTGCCGCCGCTGCGCAGCGTCCCCTCGCGGCCCCGGGCCACCCGGGGCGCCATGGCGAGGACAGGCCTGGCGCCCGGTGGCGGCGCAGAGCCAGCAGGGAGGGGCTGCCCCCGGCTCTTTCCGGCTCTTTCCGGCTCTTTCCGGCTCTTTCCGGGCGAGCGCGCAGTGTCGGCTTTAGGCGGCGCTTCCCGCCATCGGCGCCAGAAGGAGCCGCGGCGGAACCGCCCTTCCGACTGAGCGTGTGAGAAGAAGGCTGCTCTAGAGTTTCTACCCTTTGAATCCAATGTTTTCATATTTTAAAAATCTTTAGCTGTGGTAAAATACAGACAACATGAAACCTACCACCCCGACCTTTGTTAGGTGCTCAGGCCATCAGCGTCGCGCACGTTCACGTTGCTATGCGACCGTCGCCGCCACCATCCACTTCCGGAACTTTCTTATCTTCCCAAACGGCCTCTGTCCCCATTGCCCACTCACTTCCCATCCCTCCCTCCGCCCTGGCAACCCACCCTACTCCCCGTCCCTATGGAGTTGACAGGGACGCCAGGGACCTCCTGTGAGCGGGCTCCGACAGTGTCTGTCCTTCTGTGACTGGCTCCTTCGCTCCGCACGTCCTCAGAGCTCCCCGTGTGGCAGCAGGTGTCAGAACTTCCGCTTTAAGCCTGAATAATATTCCACCCACTCACTCTTTGAGGGACCTCTGGGCTTTTTCAAGTTTGGGGCTATTAAAGACACAGCCGCCATGGACATTATTGCACAAGTTTTTGCAGGGACATAAGTCTTCCGGCTTCTCTGGGATACGGCCGCCGGGGTGGCTTGGGACTCGCGTGTTTAGTTTCGTAAGAAACTGCCGAGGTGTTTTCCGGAGTGGCTGCTGTATCAGGTCCCTCACAGGTTCCCACCAGCAAGGTGTGAATCGCCAGGTGTTTCTGCACACTCACCGCTGTTTCTTACTTTAGCCATCGTGATGAGTATGTGCTCATGTCTCCCGGGGGTTTCCGTTTGCATTTCCCTGATGTTCAGTGATGCTGAGCATCTTCTCAGATGTCTCTTCACCATCCTCCTGGCCTCTTCAGTGGGATCTCTGCTCAGGTATCTGCCCACTTCTAATGGAACTGTTTGTTTGTTTTCATTGTTCAGTTTTGAGAATTCTTTAGACGTCCTAGATCCTAGTCCTTTGTCACAGATGTGGTTTATAAATGTTTTCTCCCTATCTATAGCTTGTGTTTTCATCCTTTTAACAGGACCTTTTTTTTAGAGCAAGCATTTTTAACTTCGATGAAGTCCAATTTATCAAATTTTCCTTTTTTTTGGATTGAGATTTTGGTGTCAAGTCTGAGAACTGTGTGCCTAGCCCTAGATCCTGAAGATTTTTCTCCTATTTTGTTGTTTAGGTTTTGGGTTTACATTTTACATTTAAGACTGCAACTCATTTTGAATTAATTTTAGTGTGTGAGACTTAGGTCAGGGTTTATTTTTTGGTCTACTGATATCCAATTGCGCCAGTACCATTTGTTGAAAAGGCCATCTTTCCTTCATTGCTTTTGCACCTTTGTCAAAAATCAGTTGGGGCAGGGTGTGATGGCTCACATCTATAATCCTAGCACTCTGGGAGGCTGAGGCCAGAGGATCACTTGAGCTCAGGAGTTCATGACCAGCCTGAGCAAGAGTGAGACTCTGTCTTCTACTAAAAACAGAAAAATTATCGGGGTGTCATGGCATGTGCCTGTAGTCCCAGCTACTTGGGAGGCTGAGATAGGAGGATGACTTGAGCCCAGGAGTTTGAGGTTGCTGTGAGCTGTGATGAGGCCATTGCACTCTAGGCAAGGCGATAGAGTGAGACTCTATCTCAAATAATAATAATGATAATCATCATCAGCTGGGTATGTCTAGGTGAGTCTGTTTCTGGGCTTTCCTTTGTTCCATTGATCTATTTGTGTGTCCCTCCACCAAAATCACACAGTCTTGATTGCTGTGACTACATAATAGGTCTTAAAATCAGGTGGATGGATTCCTCCCATGTTATTCTGTTTTTTTTTTTTTTTTCTGAGACAGGGTCTCACTTTGTTGCCCAGGCTAGAGTGAGTGCCGTGGTGTCAGCCTAGCTCACAGCAACCTCAAACTCCTGGGCTCAAGCGATCCTCCTACCTCAGCCTCCCGAGTAGCTGGGACTACAGGCATGCGCCACCATGCCCGGCTAATTTTTTCTATATATATTAGTTGGCCAATTAATTTCTTTCTATTTACAGTAGAGACAGGGTCTTGCTCTTGCTCAGGCTGGTTTCAAACTCCTGACCTGGAGCAATCCGCCCGCCTCAGCCTCCCAGAGTGCTAGAATTACAGGCGTGAGCCACCGTGCCTGACCCATGTTATTCTTCTCTTTTAAAATTGTTTTAGCTATACTAGTTCTTTTATTTTCCTGTATAAATTTTCTAATAATCTTGTTTGTATCTACAAAAATATCTTGCTGGGATTTTGATAGGAAATGTGTTAAACCTGTATATCAACTTCAGGAGAACTGACATCCTCACTATGTTGTCTTCCAATTCATAAACATGGTATGTCTCTCCATTTATTTAGATCTCTTTTCATTTATTTCATCAGTGTTTTGTAGTTTTCAGTATATAAGTCCTCTGTGTGTGTTGCATTTTTTTTGTTTTTTTATTTTTTTGGAGACAGCTTCTTGCTTGAACGCTAGAGTGCAGAGCTCAAGGCTGGAGTGCAGTGGCTCAATCATAGCTCACTGTAACCTTGAATACCTGGGTGTAGGCAATCCTCTCACCTCAGCCTCCCCAGCAGCTGGGACTACAGGCATGTGCCACTAGGCCCAGCTACATTTTTAAAAACATATATATTATAGGGGCTGAGGTCTTGGCTATGTTTCCAGGTTGGTCTCAAACTCCTACTATCAAGTAATCCTCCTGCTGACTCAGCCTCCAAGAGTGCTGGGATTATGGGTGTGAGCCACTGTACCTGGATGTTAGCTCTACATCTAAGTATTTCATTTATTTTTAAATAAATAAACCAGTGGCATAGTATTTTTAATTTCAGTGTCCACATATCCACTGCTAGTCTATAGGAATACAGACAATTGGTTTTTGTTTATCTTGTATCCCGAAACTTTCGTGAGTTTTCTTGTAGAAAGTTTTCTACAAAGTTTATTTTATAGATTCCTCGGGATTTTCTACATAGACAGTCAGTCGTGTCTTCTGCAAACAAGGGCAGTTTTATTTCTTTTCAATCTGTATCTTTCCAATCTTTGGTTTCCTTTTCTTTCCTTATCTCGGTGGCTAGTACTCACAGCACCATACTGAGTAAGAGTGGTGAGAGTGGACATCCTTGTTCCCAATCTTAGCAAGAAAGCATTTGGTCTTTCCCACTAGGTATATGTTGCCTGTAGGTTTTTATGTAGACCCTTGTCTTAATTTGGGCTACTGTAACAGCAGTACCATAGACTGGGTGGAATGAACAGCAAACACTTCCTGCTCACAGTTCTGGGGGCTGAGGAGTCTGAGAGTAGCCGCTGGCAGGTCTGGTGCCTGTCGAGGGCCCCTTCCTGGTTTGCAGGCGCTGCCTTACTGTGTCCTCCGTATGGCCGAGAGAGAGAGATCATCCCTTTGTGTTTATTCTTTTCTTACTTTTTATTTTTAAAGACAGATTCTTGCTCTGTTGCCCAGGCTGGAGGGCAGTGGTATGATCGTAGCTCACTGCAGCCTCGAACCCTTGGGCACAAGGGATCCTCCTCCCTCATCTTTGAGAGTAGTTGGCGCTACAGGCATGTGCCAGCACACCTGGCTGGGTTTTTAAAACAATTTTTTTTGTAGAGACAGAGTCTCGCTATATTGCCTAGGCTGGTCTTGAACTCCTGGGCTCAGGCAGTTGTCCTGCCTCCCAGAGTGCTGGGATTACAGCGGGAGCCACCACAACCAGCCTCCTCCGTGTCTGTTCTTATGAGGGCACTAATCCAGTTCACGAGGGCTCCATTTTCATGACCTAATCACCTCCCGAAGGCCCCACCTCGTAATGCCATCACGTCGGGGATTAGGGGTTCCACACGGGAATCTGGGGGGCACTTTCGGTCCGTGGCAATGCTTTTTATCGAGTCGGAGAAGTCAGTCTGTCCTGTTGTCCTCGTTACATCCCTTTGCCCTCCCCTTTTATAACACAGCATGTTAAATATTCCTCCATCCCTACTGTCACCCATAACTGAGTGTTGCTGTCCCAGCCAGTCTCCAAGACTGTCCCATGGTCCTCACCTCCGCGTGTCACGCCCTCTCACAGCCCTTCCCATGGGGAATGGGGCTGACCGGGTCACCAAGGGGACAGTGTGAGAACGGTTCAGTGTGACTTCCAAACCAGGCCGTGGGAGGTGCTGCGGTTTCTGCCTCGTTCTCTTACCTCGTTTGCTCTGAGAGAAGCCAGTGCCCTGTCACGAGGACACTCAGGCATCCTGTGGAGAGGTCAGTGGCAAGGAACTTAGGCCACTCGCCAATAGCCATGTGAGCGGGCCGCCTTGGAGAGAAATCCTCCATCCCTGCAAAGCCTGGCCGACGTCTCCACTGAAACCTCATGAGACACCCTGGGCCAGAACCGCCCAGCTGAGCCACTCCCAAAATCCCGATCCTCAGAGACAGCGTAAGATAATAAATATTTAGGGTTGTTTTAGGCCACTAAGTTTGGGAACAATTTATAAGGCAGCAGTAGGTCACCATTAGAGATGCTGGAATTCACTGGAATCCAGCAAAGAATGGGCACGGCTCCCACGCAGACGTCACTGTGCTGATGGGGGTGCCCTGAGGCCACCTCGGAGGGGGGCAGTTAGTTTCAATGAATATTTCAATGAAATATTCATTGAAACGTCTAGAATGTGCTTTAGCCCACAGTTCTGCTTCTGAGGATTGATCCTAGCACACTTGCATGTTGCATAAAGGAGACAACCTCAGTGTCCCTCCGCAGAGGACTGGTTCCATCCATTGTGGAACATCCGTGCAAAGGACCTGGACAGCTTAAAAAGAGCAGTGACCGCCTGGGCACCATGGCCAGACTACGAGGACGTTAACTCTAGAACGGGGCCTGGCGGGGAGTGATTTGATGCTTCCCAGGAGAGCAGGAGGTGACTCAGCAGTCCCACTCCTGACAGCATCTGAGAGATGCTCTGATGCACTGCTTTTTATTTTTAATTTAATATTTTTTGGGACAGAGTCTCACTCTGTTGCCCGGGCTAGAGTGCTGTGGCATCAGTCTAGCTCACAGCAACCTCAAACTCCTGGGCTCAAGTGATCCTCCTGCCTCAGCCTCCCGAGTAGCTGGGACTACAGGCATGTGCCACCACACCCAGGTAATTTTTCTTATTTTTTCATTTTTTAATTTTTTTGAGACAGAGTCTCACTCTGTTGCCCAGGCTAGAGTGAGTGCTGTGGTGTCAGCCTAGCTCACAGCAACCTCAATCTCCTGGGCTCAAGGGATCCTCCTGCCTCAGCCTCCCGAGTAGCTGGGACTACAGGCATGCGCCACCATGCCCGGCTAATTTTTTCTATATATTTTTAGTTGGCCAATTAATTTATTTCTATTTATAGTAGAGATGGGGTCTCGCTCTTGCTCAGGCTGGTTTCGAACTCCTAACCTTGAGCAATCCACCCACCAAAGTGCTAGGATTACAGGAGTGAGCCACCTCGCCCGGCAACTTTTTAAATAAACTTTTAATTCTGGAATCATTTCAGATTTACAAAGACATTGCAAATTCAATAGAGAGAATTCTTGCATACCTCCCACCCGGTTTTCCCCTTTGATTAACATCTTACTTAACTGCAGTACATTTATTAAAACTAAGAAATTAACATTGGAATAATGTTATTAACTGAATGACAGAGTTTATTAGGATTTCATAAATTTTCCCATGAATGTTCTTCTTTTGTTCCCGGATCCAACCTAGGATCCCACATTACATTTAGAAAAACACTGGGTTTTTCTTTTCTTAAAAATAGATCTACTGAGATATAATTTGCATACCATATACTTCACCTATTTAGAGTGTACAGTTCAGTGGATTTGAGTGTATTCATAGTGTTAGAGAAACATCATTACTGATTGCAGAACATTTTCATCACCCTCAAAGGGAATCCCTACCCATTAGCACTCACGTCCCATCCCCCCTCCCAGCCCTGGCAACCACAGCTCTACTTCCTGTCTGTGTGGATTTGCGTGTTCTGGACGTTGCATGTAAACGGAATCATGTAATATGTGGTCACTTGTGACTGGCTTCTTTCACTTAGCATAATGTTGAAAAACATTGCTTTTAAATTTTTATTGGAGACTATTTTTTTGAGCAGTTTTAAGTCTGCAGCAAAATTGAGTAGAAGATACAGATATATTGCATACACCCCTGCCCCCGCCAGCTATCACAGCCCCCGCCAGAGTGGCTCATTGTTACAATCCGTGAACCCACACTGACACATCATTTACTCAGAGTCCACAGTTTACACTGGGGTTCACTCTTGGAATTGTACATTCTATGGGTTTAGGCAAATGAGTAATGACATGTATTTACTGTTACGGTATCACATGGGATAGTTCCACTGCCCTAAAAATCTGTGCTCTGTCTATTCATCACTTCCCCCAATGAGCATTGTTTATAATAGTGAAAAACTGGAAATCTAAAGATTTATCTACAGATGAATGGAGAAATACATTTTGATAGATTCACATAGCAAAATACTATTCAACTGTGAATATGAATGATTTAGAGCTACATCTGTCATCTTGGATGAATCTCAATAGTATTGAACAAAATAAGCCAGCTGCAGAAGAATTCATGATTGCCAATAACTATCATAGGATCGATGATGTCGTGGCCAACATGTAATTGAGCGGTGACTATGTGCCAGGCACGGTTCCCTCTATAGGGATTGCTGACTTATTATGCATGCAGTAGAGAACATTTATATAAGGTTTTAAATTGAGCACAATAATACTACATATTGTTTATGGAAGTGTGCGTATGCAATAAATGTATAAAAACATGCATAGAAATGATAAACACCAAGTTCAGGTGGCTCAGTGGTTCCCTCTGGGGTGGGAGCAAAGAGGGTGGAATCAGAGTGGGAGGAAGGGACTTCGATCGTACCTGTGATGTTTGTTGTCTTAAACTGGGTGGTGGCTGTAGGTGTTCATTATTCTCCATCCTTGTGATGTGCCTGATCTATTTCATAATAATTTTAAAAAGAGCAAGGCTATGCAGAACAGTGTATGGAGTGAGCTATATTGGGGTTATTAAAATGATTCATACGTATATGCTTGCAGATGCATGCACTAGCCCTGGAAAGGATCACAAGGAACCCTTAATAGGCCCAGGATTTGGGGAGAGCCCAGGGCCTGGGGACCAGAGGTAGAGAGGAGACACACCTTTCCCTGACACTTTTTGAATTTTGTATTGCATGTATTATTAATTATTAATTAAAAAATAATCCAACCTTATATTTATATATATTCCCTTTTGCTTTGCCAGGCAATTTCCCATCTAGAACCTCATTCCCTCCACTAAGGTCCTGGGGCTCCCGAGATCCTAGCGTTCGGATGAGAACCCTGAGTTGCAGATGGGTTTCTGGGTTCCTTGCCTGGTGGCTGGTTCCCAGGTGAGGCTCTGCCTGCCCTGCACGAGTTCTGTTAAATGTCAAAAGCTAGTGATGGGGAACTCGTGTTTTTCCCTCATTCTGTTTTTATGAAATGCCGAGAATAAGCAAATCCATAGAGAGGTTAAGTAGATTTGTGGTTGCCTGGGGCTGGGGGCAGGGAGGGGGAATGAGGAGTGACTGTTAGTGGGTACAGGTTTTCTCTTAGGGGTGATGGAAATAGATAGTGGTGATGGTTGTACAACAGTGTGAATGTACTTAGTGCCACTGAATTGTATACTTAACAATGCTCAGTTTTAAGCTCTTTATATATCAGAACAGCAACAACAAAAAAAACCCAACCAAACAAAAAAACAATGCTCACTGAAGACACTCCACCTGAACGCACTCTTGCCAGTATCTGTCACCTTCCCACCTGTTCTCCATTATGCTTCTGCCCGGCTCACATTTTGTTCCTCCCCGACTTTGTTCCTGGCAGCACTGTACCGAACTGCACACTTTCCCAGTCTGCCTTGCTTCTAGGGGTGGCTGTGGACACCACTGTAGCTGATGACATATTGGCAGACATTTCTGGGAAGGCACTGGCTTCTCTTTTGAAAGAGAGAAACAGCTGAATACTCTTGCCCCTTCTTCCTGCCTGAAGGGGAATTCCTGAAAGGGAATGTGATGTGTGGAGCAGCAGCAGCTGTTGTTGTCACGAGGTGAGAAGTTTGAGGGCAAGGCTGAAAGAATTTTGGACTGGGCACTGTTGAACCTGTCAGACCAAAGCCAGGGACCACCCACCTCTTGTCCAGCACATGCTGAGTGAGAACTTTCTGTTCTAGGTGCTGGGCAGTGAACAAAGGCAGACAAAATCCAGGCCTTCCTGGAACTGACATTTTCATGTCATATGAAAAAAATAAACCACTATTTAAGCCACTTTTAATTGGAGTTTCTGTTATTTGCAGCCAACTATATTGTGGGGCGCGGTGTCAACGCCATTACTAGATGGCGCCTGTTTCCGGCTTTGCCTAGAGCAGCAAACAAGTTCAGCGCACGCGCAATTGTCGGTTGCCCTGTGGCGCAGGCATGCAAACGAAGGGTCCTGCTATGGACTAATGCTTTGGTGGCTCGACAGCTGAGCGGCCTATCCCAGCTTAGGGGTTGTGCTTCTAGGGTATATAACAGCCTGCGCGCTGCCGGGCTGGGTCTTCCGCATCATGTAAGTCTAAAGGGAACCCCATTAAAGCACTGTCAGAAGAACTCCGGTTGCTGCGTCTTCCTTGCTGGCGAGGCGGGCGCGACACTATATTAATAGTATTAACTGATACAACCATTTTTTAAAAAATCGTTTGATCTACTCCCAGGGGTGAGAGTGAAGATGTTCACATCTGTGTTAAGGTGCCCCGGCCACACAGCTAACAAGTCCCTCAACGTGGATGTGAAGAAGTTTCTGGAGCTGGAGCCCAGACTGCACTTCCCATACAAGTCTTTCCTATATCCACCCCACCTCTCTGCACAGCACCTACCCGGTGTCTGTCCTTGTGCGGCAGCAGGACGGTGGTGATGGGAACACCACTGCCTCAGAGAGCCTGATGTAGGACGACGCTGTAATAGTAAAAATTGGAAATTATCTTACACGTCCAACTAAAAGAGGACCTTCAAGGAAATTAGGGCGTACCCACTCAATGGGCTGTAGGGCCACCGCTTCCGTGAGGGCTGGGGACACAGGCAGCCACGTGAGCCAGGCTTAGCGTGTAAAGGAAAGCAGGACAAAAGTGTACGTGCATCACGATTCGAGCTCAAGTAGGGGAAGACGTACGCCGGCAGACTGGGAGGGTTTCGCGTGGCTGGACGCTAAACCGGCTGGGGGCAGGGCTGTGGGCACCTCTCTGTTTCTCGGTGTGCGCCTAATGTGGTTTTGTGGCTTTGAAATCCAAAACCATAACTCTATTTATTTATTTGAGACAGAGTCTCACTGTGTTGCCCTGGGCTAGAGTGCCGTGGCGTCAGCCTCGCTCACAGCAACCTCAAACTCCTGGGTTCAAGCGATCTTCCTGCCTCAGTCTCCCGAGTAGCTGGGACTACAGGCGTGCGCCACCATGCCCGGCTAAGTTTTTCTGTATATTTTTAGTTGGCCAATTAATTTCTTTCTATTTTTAGTAGAGACGGGGGTCTCGCTCTTTCTTAGGCTGGTCTTGAACTCCTGACCTTGAGCAATCCGCCCGCCTCGGCCTCCCAGAGTGCTAGGATTACAGGCGTGAGCCACCGCGCCCGTCGGTAACTCTATTTGAAAAACAACTTCCAAACACGCACACTCCCAGCGGGAAAATGGGGTGTCTCTCCACCCGCTCGGGACAGCGCAGGGCACACGGGTCCGAGGGCAGCCTCGGTGGCACCTCCGCCCCGGGCTGGGAGCCCAGCCGCTGACACCTGCCGCTGGGGCATGCGGCGAACCCAGTCCCAGACCCACCTCCTGGCTCTGGGATTGGCTGGAAGATGCCCCTCCTACTCCAGCCTAGCCAATCATAGGTCCACGATCTTTGCCAGAGATTGGCCCACGTGGGGCACGTGACTGGCAGTCCCAGCGTGCCCTGCGCGCCTAGTTCAAATGCGATGCGCCAGCGGAGCTGCCTTGAGGCCGCGGGACGAGGCGGTGGGATGAGGGCCGCGGTCCGGCTGTGCCTGGGGTTGGGGACCTGAGGGAAGGTGGTCCCGCTCTCCACCCAGTCCTCCAGCCCTTTCCCCGCGCGGCCCAACGTCGGGGACGAGCCCGGACGTCGCACGGTGAGGACAGACTTGGTCGCCCGCGAGCTGTGGCACCGGGAAGGGGCAGCGCCGGGCGGGCGACCTGCGTGGTGGACGGAGCCCGAGGGGAGGCGGCGGGCGCGGGCAGGGTGCGTGGCGAGGCGGCGGGTCTGCCGCTGGGCCGCTGTCCTGGTGGGCATGTCGCCGGGCGACGGCTCCGGGGCCGTGGGGGCCTGAGCGGCGGGACGTGCGGCACACCTGTAAGCCCTCTCCGGTAAATGCCCCGAGGAAGCCGGGCGGGCCTGGGGTCAGCTCTCCTGGCAGCCTGGAACTTTCTCCGGCTGGTGCGTTAAGGAGGGCTGCGGTCCTCCCGGGGCTGCGGCTTTGAGCTGTTGGAAACCCTGTTAGTGCTCAAGTCTTCTGAAGTTGAGGGAGAGGGGTGGACAGAATCATTTGCTTTGGGAATCGGTAGTTTTATAGGCCGAGGCTGAGGCCTGGTGGAGATACAGCTCAGAGAAGCCTGGCTAGAGTTTGGCCAAGGATGTCTTTGTGGTCCTCGAAGCCTCTCTCAGGAGGGCTTAGAGCAGAAATGCGTGCCTTCGCCCAGAAGCTGGGCGCTGGCATAAGTTACCCAAAACGCCTGATTCTGGGAGGATGGCTGTGCTCCCTGCCCGTCCTCTGTGGTGGCCCCTTGCGTGCGAATCCCCTCTCCTCCTAACATTCCCTTGGTACCACAGGGAGCTGTGGGGTTTGCCACTCGCTGAAGCAGGGCTGGTCTGGGCAGGTGTCTTTCCCTCATGGGGCCCATCCCTGTGTGCCAGGAAACTGAGGCCTGTGGTGGGTGAGGGAGAGTCTGGAGGGTTTAAGCCCAGGTGTCTGTCTTCCCAGGACACAATCTGCTTATCCTGCAGCCACTGATGAGGGATTTAGGAAGTGCCCCTTGCCACACCCGGGGTAGGACAGGAGAGGTGTGTAGCTCTACACAGAGGAGAGGTGGTATTGGGGAGCAGGGGCCACAGAGCAAAGGGTTAGGGCAAGTGGAGGATTCCCAGTAACTTTCCAGGCAGAGGACAAGGAGGGTCAGCATAGGGGCAGGCAGCGCACAGGATGAGTCCCTGAGCCTGTGAGGAAGTCCTTCCTTGCCGGGTGTCTGAGGGCTAGATGGAGGCCACAGGAGCTGCAGTGGCTGCAGCTGTGAGGGGCGAGTGCGGCCTCTGGGAGGCGGAAGGGCTGTCTCTGGTGTGAAGGGCTGCTGGGTAGTGCTATCGCACTGCGTGGAATTGGCGGAGCTGCCCTGGTGAGGCTCATCTTCCAGGGGGGTGAGTGCAGTGGGAGGCCGGTGATAATCAGTAAGCAAGTAAGTAAAGAAATAAGCCATTTGTGGGTATTGACAGGTGCCATGGGGAGATGTGAGAGTGTGTGATTAGAGTGAGTCCTTCTCTAAATCTGGTGGTCCAGGAAGTCATGCACGCACAGGGGAAGAACATCCCAGGTACCAGGAGGAGCCAGCAGAGTGGCAGTGTGGCTGGAGCAAGGTGAGGAGGGCAGGCCCAGGTCTCTCAGGATGGGGCAGAGCTTGGTCAGCTGTGGCTTACGTTTCATGCTATGTGCAGCCCTCTTATTTTGTGGTCTTCTTTCCTCCCATCATAAGGAGCCACCACACTCCCCACTTAGTGCTCCCGGCTGCGGCTAGAGAGAGCTGGTCACATGCCTGTGAGGGGGAGGGGAGCTGGTCTTTCCCAGCAAGCCTGTGGGGTGCTAAAGGTCTCAGGCTGTGTGGTTTTCTCTTGGCCCCATGTCTCTGTCAGGGCCTTTGTAGTCACATTTTATAAACTCCTGCTTGAAAACGGAGCCTTTATTTTTAGCCTGTCCAGATGGCAGGCTCCAGGCCAAGGAAGGCTGCTGCTGCTCCTTGCCTTCGGCTTTAGGTAAAGCTTCAGAGCTGTGTGGGTCTGTTGTGCTTGTTTCCAGACTCCTTCTGTAACCGTGGGCTCCTTATCTCATCCTTCCTTTGCTTGGCCTCTCTGCCACTGAGGGTAAGAGCAGAGGGAGAGGAAAGGGCTGCCTCGTTTTATAATAACTGGCAGAGGGAGGCTGTGGGCTGGGGGAGAAAACACCATCATCTGGGTCAGGAGCTGCGCCAGGCGTCTGTGGTTGCAAGCAACAGAAATGGGCTCTGGCTGACTTAGGCCACGTTGGGAGGCCTAAGGCACATGTTGGGAGTGTTCTGGGTCATTCACAGCCATGAGGGGAAGAGTTTAACAGGAGGGAAAGATGGGGCCCAGGGCAGCTCTGCTCCTGTGTTGAGGACTCAGTCTTCAGAGTGACTTGTTCTAGCTGCTTGTAGGCCACATGGTACGGCATCTGGTTCTTGGAGCTTCAGTTTCCTCATCAGTAAAGGGGATGATCACTGTGGCGATACTTACCTCATGAGAATTAAAGCAAATGTCACATGCTCTCTAAGCCATGGAGCCTTTTACAAATGTTGGGTCCTTTCTCTGAAAATCAGAGGTTCCCTAGGCCTTGCTATCCTGATCTCAGTTGAACAAATTAAGGTAACCAGATTCCCACCAAATTAAGTCTCCTTTTTCCACAACTCTGAGGTCCTTTAGCCAGGGGGCGCCTGCACCTTGCCCAGCCTCCTGAACCCGAGGCCCAGTGCAGATGGCTTCTGAAGGGGGCAGAGTGCAGGAGTGGCCTGTCAGCAGGACAGATTCTGACCCAGCAGCGGATCCCAGGACCCGCTGATTGGGTTCTCTCCTACAGACTTAGGGTAGCTGTACGGCAAACCCTTCTTTACTTGCTGTGGACCTTGGCAAGACTTAAGTTTCCTCATCTGTGAAGTGGGGCTCTTAGTTTCTACCTTGCAGAGCTGTCAGATACTCCGTGGGTCAGTACTCTGAACAGTCAGTACTCTGGCACATGGCACTGGATGGATTGACTTCTGTTTCCAGCTGTACTACCTCTTGGGCTCACACCCAGACCTAAGTTGACATCTGCCTTGTGCTTGTGTGCTCCTCCCACGCTCTGGGGTTTGGACAACACATTTAATTCTGTTTCTGTAGTCCTTGGGCAGGGAAGACTACAGGTGGGCAATGGCAGGATGGCTTGCCTTCTAGGAGCCCCAGGACAGGGGTGCTGGTCACCAGATGCAGGTGGCTGATGAGCTATCTCCACACTCAGTCTGGCTCACTGAGTAGACTGGCTAAGTCTGTTCCTATGATCCCCACCTCATATAGGGCCCAGTGGACACGGGCAGTGCTCCAGCTCACCTGTTGACTCTTGGGCACGTGCCACATACTTTGAGCAGAGGCAATGGCATGTGGCTGAGAAGCCTTGGCCACCTCTCCCTGAACACCCCTTCAGATTCTTGGATCACTGGATATGTCTGTTGCCTGAAACTGAAAAATCCAGATATCCAGTTGACTTCTGGCCTGGCGAATAGCACTGTTGGTCGTCTGGCGAGGTCAACAGGCACAGGGTAGAGTTCCAGATCTGAGCAGCTCCTTGCTCCCTTGAGATATGTGTGGCAGGACAACTCAAGGACATGCTGACAGACACCGCACGTGGTATTGCCCTGCCTCTAGGCATGTTAACAGCCTGAGAAGACCCGGCTGCTGCTGCTGCTCCCATCTGGCCGGAGAGTCCCACAAACGTTCACTGCTGCTGCCGTTTTCTGGTCCACAGGCAGACATGGGTTCCTGATGTGTGTGCTACACCCCAGGCTCATCTTTTAGGATGGGAAAGGATGCTCGGGAAGCTGACATTTAATGTTAAGTGGAGTGCGACGGCGTTGAGACATTTATGTCATTTTTCTTTTAAAAGAAAAACGTGTGTTGCCATTCCTTGTCAAAAATGGAAGTAGTTTTTCTATGATGAGTGCCCTCAATCACTAAAAACAAATATTTTGTGTATTTTTAACAAAATGTGAAAATGATCAGTGCTGCTGACTTGGGTAAGCATTACCAACAAGTGCCACCAGGGGACGACACAACACAAGGGAGGAGGGTCTGAAAGCCCAGGACTCTGGGTCAGAATGTTTTAATTAAATGAAAATACTGAAGTGATATAGTAGAGAGTACTTTTAATGGAAAATTAATTGATAACACAATGTTATTTCAATTTACTTTTATTTTTAACTTAAATGACTGTGTATATTCCACAGTCTTATGATGAGAAAGGCTTCAGAATCATGTCTAGGTCTTCTCAACATTTCATATCGAATTGTTTTTTTCTTTACGATGTGCATTGATATGGGCTTCTCAGTTCAGAAAACAAGGCACTATAACTATTTTATTAGCTACATTAATACATTGAAGATATATTTATCCTTTCATTAAATATACAGCATTTGAATACAATATGGTTTTATGCAGATCAGGTTCAAAACACCCAAGGCACACACTTTATTTTTTTCCTTTTTTTTATGTATTTATTTGAAGGCTCATATTAAAGTTTCAGAATTGCTATGAACAGAGAGTTCCAGAGTAGAAGCAATGGACAGTGATTGTTATAATTTTAAACATGAAATGCTAAAGACTGTGAAATGTAGAAACATGTTACAGGAACAATAAAGAAACAACATCACTGATACAGCATGGATTAAAATTGAAGTGATCAGATCTTCTGAAGTCTGAGAAACAAGTTTGGAAATTATCCGATTTCCCACAAAGCCCGGGCAGTCCCGTGTTGCATGCAACTGCTGTGGTCACCCAGCCATGGTGGAATTTTCACCTACTTGCATGTGTTCGTGGATATCTACAAATACAGAAGCACATTCCAGTTCACTAGCTGTTAAAATGCCTCAAATAAAGCTCAAGTAGAAGAAAACATCTTCCAATATTTTTCCCCCAATAAGACAAACTAATATCTTCATCTAGGAAAAGAGGTCTGGAAAAAAAACCATTGGACAGTAAAGTTTGGGGACATGTTAAGGTTTGGGAGAAGCTATTGGATAGTGAGGCAGGAGGGCTTTGTAAAATATAAAAGATAAGTGGATTCAAATTTTTCATGAACATGGAAACATACTGCTCAAACTGCTGCTCAAATGGAGAATGTGCCAAAATAGAAGAAACCATTCAGGAACTAAAGACAAGTTTTCACTGATGAGGCCAAAGAAGAGGTTCAATGTTTAAGTTAAAATTTGCTTCCCCAAAGTGGAAGGGGTGGCCTATGTCTTCCTGGCTCAGTTCTTTGCCAAAAGACACAAGTGCTCTCTTGCTCCAAGCCTTAGTACCTTGTTTGCTTCTCAAAACATTGTTAGATTTATGTCAAGCAGAGAGGCTTCCCAGTTCTGCAACTCCCATGGCTAGAAGGCAGCCAGCTGGGGATGAGGGTAGCCCTATACTCCGAGGAGAGAGACCCAAATCTGGCTTACCTCCGTGGCATCCCTACTTCCTCCCCAAAACAAAAAGGAAAGCCAATTCTGACATTTTTCACAATTCTGAACTAATATACATGTTTCCATTTATATATTTAGACTACTTTAAGGAAATGGAACCAAGGCATATTTTTAGCTCAGTGGGAGGAGCATTTTCACTCTTTGATGAAAGATATTATCTGGTCAGTTTTATAGAGGTAAAGCCGGCTACGATGCTTCAAATAACCTACATTAGATTGCAAGTTTGGCAACTTTTTGTTTGTTTAATTCAGACAGTTTTTACTGTTTGCAATCAGAACCACAACCTTAGTGCAATAGTATATTTATTTTTTTACAGTAATTTTGGTTGCCATACAAGAGATTAAAGGATTGGGAGAAAGTGCAAATTACAGGAGCTTGGTTTTGTTTTTGTTTTTTTTTTTTAATAAAGTCTAAAAAGAATAAAAGCACAAAAGTAACAGCAACATAGATAATGCGAACACGTGTTGTTACACAAACTATAGTGTGAAACATATTAGTATTTAAAAAACAAAAAAAAATTGTTAATGGGAAAATCAATATTTGTGGCCCACACACAAAAAGTCATTGCCAGATCAATTGGGTAATGCTTGTTCAATAACTGAGAAAAAAATCCACCATTTTATTAACTAAAGTATCACAAATAATTCACTTTGTGATATGTAAAGTTCAGCAAATCAACAGTCACATTGAGTCATTTTTATATTATATGAATTAACTTAAAATGTGCACAGACACCCTGGAGAAGGTATCTTGGCAGGTATACATAATTTACATCTTGATAGATTTGGGTTTTGTATACACGATATTACAGAAACTAGGTATGTAAATGCAGTTTATTTAAATTACAGTATATAACAAAAGTTGATCTTAAAACCTGGAATAGTATTAACATCTTTATATGAGCAGTTTAACATTTGTCCCACCATTAAAGAGGGTCATGGAATAGGGCCTGGTCCTTACATGTCCTAGAGGGGAGAACAGTGGGTGGCGATTTGAATGAGGAACTATATTGCTCTCTGTAGCAAAATCAGCAAATAGAGCCAGAGACCGATTCATCTTGGCAACATGTTGATTGGTGAGTGCAGGTTCTGATAGGTCTTATTACTTTTCTATAAAAAGCAATGTAAAAACAAACTATTTTATTAGCTGTTTAGCCAGCTTGCTTCTGGTTAGTGGCATGTGGCTTAAAGTCTTTTGAGAAAGGGAGTAACAGCCAGCTCTCACCACCTGGCTGCCAATGTTTAATGAACCCCAAGTCACCATGTTGTGATTGGTTACAATCTACCAGAGGTTTCTTTTACTCTCCTCTTACCTAGCATTTTGCCTGGCACTGAGCACAGAGGTAATACCAATAGGAGGCAAAGCAAAAAGAGCCATGGTGAAATGGTGGGCTTACTAAATTTTGTACTGTCACCAAATGGAAGACAAATTAATGGCCAAACCACTATTTTTACATTTTTTCCTAAAATATTGGGCAGCCCAGCAGGCCACCTATAGTATCTTGGCTGGAAATTTCTCTAGAGTAATGTTTGTTCATCCCCCAGTGGAAAAATTGAAAGTACACGAAAGTAAAGCGCCTTAATATTCAATTGTTTCAAGTTGGATTGGATCATTCAAATATAAAGATTGACCTGCAAAACATTTTGGAACAGGAGAAGGTCTAAAGACTCAGTTTCCAAATCAGGGGCGTGTAGCTGGAAAAGTTGTGTGTGTGTGGTGTGTGTATATTTTGGTTTTATTTTTAGAGAAACTGCTGCATTGTGAATTATAATCACTTTTGAAGAAATTGTCCTTCAATGATGAAGTTCTAGCAAAGATAGAAAATATAACACAGCTCTGCTGGTTCAGATGCATCCAAATAAGGTTGATTTAAAAAGGTCATACTTTTATAATTATTCCACAGAAATAGTATTATTAAATCACAAAAGTTTTTTTTTTTTTCTTTAACTTTCTAGCACTGAAGTGGCACAAAGGCTGCCTAGTAGACCAGCCACTTTTTTTTCTTAAAATATTGTGCTTATAAACTATCTGTACAACTATTTAAACTTGCAGTAAAGAAAGAGATTTTAAATTTCTAAATTTTATGTATTCATTCTAGAGCTGTTCCAGACCTAACCAGACACTTGGTCGTGAGCATAAAGGAAAAAATAAAAAAAATCATGTTTTATAATTAGAGATGGGCTGAGCTAGTTCTGAAATCATAATAAAACCAAAAACCTGACATTCGAGTATCCTCCAAATGTGGGAGAATGTGCTGGAAGCCTGACTGGATGTTTTGCAGCCCATGTGCAGTTGGTGACCTCCCTTGGCAATCAGATGTATCCTTGCCGGGAGCGGGCTGCAGGGGAGAGCCTGGGATGCTCAAGGAAGCCTCGCCAGAGAGGCTGGGCCGGCTCTCCAGGAGACCTCCCTGCTTTCCTTGCCTTACTCATCTGCTGCTCACCCTGATCCTGCAGCCTACCTGTGTTCTCAATCCTGGGTTGTGTCTACACTCCATACCCACTGGGTCCTCAGAGGACCTGCTGTACTGTTAAGACAAGCTGGTGGGGTTCCTAGACACCCAGAGAAAAAGGGGGAAAGCCCCGAAGTACCATCTTCCCTGGCCTCTGAGAGCAAAAGGACTGTCTCAGCAGAGATGCTCACCCGTGGCCGGGCTCAGAACTGAGGGCCCTGTACCCCCCAGCTCCCAGAGAAGACACCGTCTCACAGGGCTGATGCCCACTGTGAACTGTGCATCTTCTTGTCCTTCATGTCAGAATAGATGCTCACCTGCTCTGGTCTTTGCTGAGCTCAACATACCTTCATGAAAAAGAATTCTGAGAGGCAGAGAACCCCTTTCTCCACCCTGGATGGATACTTCTGGCAGATAGCAGCGCTCGTCCTTGAGGAGACCTAGGACCAAGGCAGCTGCACACTGGCTGCTTCCATGGCCAGGTCTCCTCTCCTTTTTGGAATCGTGACTTTGTGCTTTGGCTAACTCCATGTGACATCTGTTTGGCCACCTTGGAATTATGCTAATAATAGATTTGCAGAAATAAAGAAAGCTAAGCAAAGCTGGGCACGATCCCATTCAAACTCCCCACCACTGCCAAGAACTTCATGGCCAAAGAGCCATGGATACTCATCACAGGATGAGATGGGGTAAAGAATCTGTATAGGGAAAAAAGTTTCTCTACCTTTCAGGCCCAAGAAAGGGCACCGGACAGACACATCTGGGAGCATCTCACTGCAAGCAAAGTGCAGGAGACAGAAAGGAGCAAGTGAGCATCGGGTGTCCTCTGAGAGGCCACAGGACTGAGGAAGGCCTCGTGCTGGGGCCTAGGGTAGTGAGAGCTGCCCGGAACGCAGAGGAGGGAGGTCTCAGGAGGTATCTAGAACACACTGGTGTCTGCCTACAAGAGCAAGGATCCCGTGCGAAATCGACGGGGAGCTTCTTGGACCCGGCAAGTGAGGTCACCCGCATGTTGGGAGGCAGGCTGGGAATCTCTTTCCATGCTAGAAAAACACTCTCTCCTTGTCCCGTTTGACAGAAACTGCCCAAGAAACCCCTAGAGAGCTGAGGGTCTCAAGGCCTCTGCTCAGCCACACCGTGGACACACACAGTATTACTTTGGGTACCAGGAGACAAACCCATGGAACGGGGTTGATGCTCATAGACTTGCTTGGCCATTCTAGTATTTCAGTGCAAGCCCATCTCTACTTATAACAAGAAGTCTATAAAGGTAAAGCGCAGCCATCCTTATCTGTCAAGCAGCTGTTTCAAAGCCCTTTCTATGTTCATTCTGTGCCCAACTCGAGTCACCCCAAGGTCGATTAGGTCTTCCTTCTGAAGGTTTGGTAAGTGACTGCCATCGATCTCATTGTCCATGAAGGTCTCTTTATGTTCACCCAAGTTTAGACTTTCCAGCCAATCTGCCACATCTGGTTTAGTCCACAGGTGGACAGGTTTAGTTGTAAAAGGCTTATTTGAGATTGGCTGTTGCAGTATCGAGGGAGATGGCGACCTGCTGCGTCCCACTGGGTTCAAGCCAAATAGGTCCCCGGAGGGGGGTTGGCTTGGAAGGCTAAAGACATCTGAGAGAGTGGGAGAAGGAGAGGCAGCAGCAGCGGACAGAGGGGCAGGCAGAATCTCTTTGTTCATCTCTGTTGGCGAGACCACAGGGCTTGGGGCACGTCTTGTTCCTGAGGTCCTACTTTCATAGTCATGGGGCCGGCTCTGCAGGGTGATGGGCTGGGAAGTGCCAGGGCGGACAGTGAAGGTGACTGTCGTGCTCCGTGTACCTGAGACGGTGCTCATGACCTCTGGGCTTCTGAAACAGCAACAACAGAGAAAATCATTACAAGGCAGGTTACCGAGCCAGCTTGGCAGGATGCAGATCACCGAGGAAGGCGAGGAGGACACCCAGACCACACCAGAGCATCTAGTGGCAGATGTGCTCACGTGGCAGTGAGCGAATGATTTGCCATGCCAGGACGGGAAGGAAAGGAGCAGAGGCAGAGTTCTAGGGAGACACCAGGCAGCCCACTCCCCTGAACCCAGGATGGAGGTGCTGGGTGGGTGTGCCTGGCTAGGTGGGAGGGGAGGGCCTGCTGCAAGGTGGCCAGTGAGGCCCTTGTAAGGCTCGAATAGGACATGAAGACAGGGCCAGAATGGAGTCCTGTCCTGAGTGGGATGTGCCCAGTGACCTCATCACTACCCCTTGAGGAAACAACACGCCCCATGTCAGCGAGCAGGAGGCACACCCTTGAGGAGAGAGCCTCTTCTCAGCTGCCCAGCCGTCCTCCGCCTGTTGGCTGGAATGGACAAGTGCAGGGTGGGACGTCCCCAGGCCCTCTTTCAGTAAGTGGAAAGCCGCATGGCTACCTGGGGCACTCAGGGTTTTCTAGGTGATTTTTAGCCCTTTTCCTGGGAAAGATTCATTACTAGGATATACAATCCTTATCAAAAAGCAGAACTCCGAAAGGAGCCCAGTTCTCCCAGTGGCCCTGGCAGTCCTTGGCAGTCCCCTGGGCCCCTTCTGTTCTGGTTGGGCAGGTAAAATCCCCGGAGCTGGAGAGGGGACAGGCTCAACTCCAGGTCCAACCTTGACTGGCCCCAGTGAGGTGGCTGGATGACTTCTCCAGCACTGAGCTGTGACCTCCTCCCCACAGAAGTCCCTAGTCCCCATGCTCACCTATGTGGGGATGGTCTTTTCATAAACCACTGCCACACTGGTTTTGGCCAAGGCCCAATGGCGGGCTTTCTCACCACACCAGAGAGGGACCCCCCCCCCCCCCGCCCCGCCCCGCCCAGCCCGCCCCGCCCGGCACGCCCGTCCCTCCCCCCCAGGCCTGGTGCACATTCTGTTTTCTCCAGACGGAAGGCATGTTCATCCCACTGGCTCTGGGAGAGCCACAGCTGCTGGGGAGGCACAAGAGCAGGTGTGTGTTTGCCTTTTCGGCTCATTCACATGGCTGTGGATGGACTGCCCACCCCCTTCTGGAAAGATCCATCCTACCACAGCCCCTCCTCAGCATCTGGACTCGAGAGATGTCTCTTGGAGCCCTGGCTTTGCCAAATATTGGCCCATGAGCCTACATGTCTTCATTTATAAAATAGGCTCCTTCCCTTCTCAGTGGCGGGACAGCTGAGCGAGGAGCGGCACTGGAGCAGCACCGTGGCTGTGAGTGATGGCGGGTGGCCGCGGCGCCTCAGTGGAAGGGTTGTGGATGGAGGAGTGCTCCATCCATGTGTGGGGAGACTCTCCAAGGACAAGACTGAAGCCCTGCATGTCTGCTATCAGCCGGTCTTGTCATTTTGCATCGCAGTTGTCATTGGGGATTAGCTGCTGCCTAGGTAGAGCAGCAGTTCTCAAAGAGGAGCCCACAGACCCTTCATAAAAGTCACCCAGGACACTAGTCAAGTGAGGACTCCTGAGCCCCTCTCGAACCTACTGAAATAGGATGGCTGGGGACAGGGACCAGGTGCCTGCAATTAACCAAACCCCAGACATTCTGATAGACACTGGACTTTAGAAACCACTTGGTCAGGCCCTGGTTTTTCTTCCAGGATGTGCAAAAGGCTAAGGGGCCAGAACCTGTACGGAAGCTGACTGAAGGGCGTGCGCTGGAAACAGGCAAGGCTGCCAGTCTGGTCTGCCCGGCTCCCGTCTGTTCCTTTCTTTTGCTGCTGTTTGTTTTCTTTACCACTGTTGTGTATTTGGGTAAAACCACCAATTGGTTACTTAGGTGCCTCCAAGCCTTGTGACACTTCTCCATTTGATGTTAGTCCTTGTTACTCCAAGTATGGAGTGTTCCACCATGAAAGGAAAGAGCCAGTGCTGTGGGCTCGAGTGTCCATCCTGTCCCGAGAAGTGTTTCCAGGGGCTGGGAGGTGCACGCTGTCGGGTCAGGCACACTTCCACCCACAGGGTGCTCACATGCAGTTCCCGGGAGGGCTGGGCGTCCCCGGTGGGACTTGCTACCAACAGGGCGTTCCTACCTGGAGCCTGCCCATCCCCTCCCCCCGAGGGGGTGCGGGTCACTGGTGGTGCTGGTGGACTGTGTGTAGCGACAGGTGTGAGGCAGCCCCAGCTGAGACTGAGGACTGCCACTACTGCTAGGCTCAGTTGTTCAAAATTGAGAAATTGGAGCCCAGTTGGGCTTCATGTGCAGGGGAAAGGGCCAGCACTCTGTGGTGTCTAGCTTTAGATTCTCAAGAGAGAGGTGGAATGTGGACACAGGCTAGAAGAAAAAACTCTCTGGTGCTCAAGTAGGATCCAAAGATCTGCTCCAGTTCCAACCTGAGCAAGCTAAAACTGGCAGGGAGTGTCGTGGTCTGTCCCATCAAGATAGCCTGTCTCTGTGCGCCACAGCCATAGGTGTGTGCGTTTTGGAGAAGGCTCACTTTTTTCACTTTGGTAAAATAAGCTAAGATGATTGAAATAAAATGAGAAAGTGTAAAGCCACTGCATTCAGAGGCTATTTGTGGTGTTAATTAGGGCCAGGGCCTTTGAGGAAAAAGGCATGCTTTTTGTTAAGTGGGAAAACATCCTGCAAGAACACATTTGCTCAGGTATGACTGGGGTGGGGTTGGTGCTTTCTCTGAAGCTGACTTCGCTTGGTGACTGTGCCCATGACCCTGGCTCTTGGTGGATCCACTGAGGCAGCACAGCTGGGGAGTGGCCCTGTTGCCCATTCGGCTTGTGAAGCGGAGGCAAGTTAATTCCCCAAGTGACAGCGACTGCTACAAACCTGGGCAGTATTTAACAGTGGGTGTCTCTGGCCCAGGGGATGGCAGCAACACTAGCCTCGCTGTGGAAATACCCCAACCAATCACAGGCACGGAAGGACTCTACAGGCAGGTGTGTGTGTGGGAAGTGAAGAGGAGGCTCTGCGAACACCTTCGTGGGCAGCAGGAGCGAAAGACAGTGGCACACACGAGAGCACGCGGCATTACTGCAGGCGGCACTTACTTCTGTTCAGCATGACCCTCTTCTGTTAACACCCATCATGAGAGCAAATGAAAATGACAAAATGCAATGACTTGAGACAACACTGCAAAATTAAGAAAGAAAAAAAAGCATCTTTCGATGGATGGAATGAAAACAGTGGTACAGACATTGGCTGAGCATCCGTCCAAGGTGGTCCCTTCTGGTGGTCCACTTTGAAAATCAATATGGGCATCACTTTCATATTTAGAACAGGAAAATAACAACCTTGCCTTCTTTAGCTTGGGATAATGTGACTCACTTAAAAAGAAGAAAAATATCCAGGAAGAAGTTAAGAAAGAGAAAATAGTGACATTGGAATGCCGTTAGCCTCTGCCTGAAGCCCTCTGAGAACCAGCTTACTGCTAATTCCTTAACTCGGGCCTGAGCCATCTTCTCTTTTCTGTAGCTTAGGGAGGATAAACCAACATTCCCAGTGGGGTAGGGGGGAGGCCACCCTACAGAGACGAGGTGACAGATAGCCAGCAGCTAATCATGGGGGCAGGCAGATCCTGGCCACGTGCTTGGGGCCTGCTGGTGCCCTGTCCAACATGGCTACAGGAGAGAATAGCCAGCGAGTCCGGGAAGCCCAGTGAAGCCTGCCCTGGGCTGGCCCCCCCACCCTCCTCCTCAGTGCGCAATTCTCTCCTGCTTCATCACACCCATGTTCACTGGATCCTCCCGGTTGCACAGATCGTTACGTTGCTAAGCAACCACTGGGTTCCCAGGCGGAACACATGGGAATCTGATGCTCTGATTTAGAACAGACACATACACACTCACACACACCCTCTCTTGGACTATCACTCTCTAGCCTGCCTTTTAAATCAAATCTATATAGAAATATGAGAATTAAAAAAAAAAATCAAGAGGTAATTGAGACACTCAGAGATGTGCTGTTATTCCATCAGTCAGTACAAGTTAAATGGGGTGGGGGAAGTAAACGTGCAGACGGCTTTTGCACTGTGCTTACGAATCCAGTTTGGCTCTTGGACAGTAACTGACAGTGGGCTAGGGCTGTTCAGCATGGCCCACTGGGCCTGCTCCTTCTGTCCCCCACACAGGCTGCCTGGCAAGAGCCCAGCCCTGGTGCTGGGTTCAGAGTCCTGTCAGCATAAAATTCTCTCCCGCACACCAAGTCACACATCTTCGTTTTAGTGTTGAGCCACCATCCTGCATGTAAGATAGCGCCGATTTCCAAACTGCTCTCTAATTCAGTTACTCTGTCTTTACAGCCTCCTGGTAAGTAGGGCACTGAAGACTTGGATCTGGGGCTGCGGAGTCACTAACTGGTTTGCCCAAGGCCTCAGTGTCAGGAGCGGAGTCAGCACAGCTCCCTTGTACTGTGCTTCATGTCCATCTTGGCAGCTGGGCTGTGCCAGCGCTTCTGCACGCTCAGGCCTTGCTGCCATCTGCGGGCTCTGAGCGAGGTGAGGGGCCCTGGTCTGTCTTCAGTCCTCAGTGCCTGGCCCAGAATGGGGGCATAGTAAATCATTGTCGAATGAACAGTTAAGGGATGTTATGTCCTTGTCCCAGATCACTTGGTTAAGTGACTTGACCAAGCTTACAGAGCCAGACCCAGGAGTGGGCTGGGCTGCCCTGGGTTCAGCAGCCATTCTGGGAATCCAGGGCTTTGTGCTAGGAGGTTCACGTCTAAGATCAACAAGGCGCCCAGCTTTCAGGGGGAAATGGTCACCCTGTGATATGTTCTTGCCAAATGTGTCTCATGTGCAAGCATCTGATTGGAGACCTGACCTTTGATATGCAAGGACAAAGTGCTCCCACCAAACTAGACTAGCCCCTTCGAAATATTAATCTAGAGAAAACACACTCTAATGAGT